ATTATCTAAAGGAATTATTGGGTAAGACAATGATGTGTTGTGTTAGCCTCAACATTACCGTAAAAGACAGCTTTTGCAAGAGTATGTAGAGATTCACTGATACATTGTGATAGACACATATTTCATTATATTCAATGGTAGCTTATAAAATAAGGTTTTAGAGACTGAAAAATCACTTCAGTATAGATTAAAGAGCTAGATTAATTTCAAGAGATGCCCCAACATATTAGGGAAAAAGAGTTAAGGATTAGATATGTTTTTGTTTTTGGTACATAAAGAACGACTTCTGGTTTAAATGTTGTTTTCTACAAAGTATTACAGGCCAAAATGACTCAAAATATACACCCATACATCTTCATTCTAGACTTACACAACGTTGATGAGATGAACAAAATAACTTGCATGACTCTGAAACATAGACTTATATAAGCTCTGAACTGAATGCAGTTTATCCAAAAGTACACACTCATGCACTGTGATGGATTAGTATGTCATGCCTTTGGTCCATTTAATGTTCTCTACACTTGAAGAGTACAGTAGACGAGCAGAATTTATCATAGGCATTATTATGATTTCAACAGAATATAAACTGGTGTTGAAGTGTCAAGGACTTTTTTTAAGTGAATGGAGCTCTGAGTGCATTCTTGAACACATTCTAACACAACGTAGAAGTGCCTTTTCATTTTAAATAACTTAAGAGGAGGCAAAGAAATAAAAATGTGTTTTATAAACTAGGTATTAGTCCTGAAGGCAGCTTAAAGAAAACATTAAGTTACAGAGGCCAAGACACACAGTGAAAGTGTCTCTAATTGGTGCTTTATAGAACCTTTGTATGGAAACGTTAAGTAGCTCATTGCTGTTATTCTCATGTCATTGTGGAAATGTAACTGTACCGATGAAAACACATTTTAAACCTTACTTATCCAGGTGAAGTGTCACAGAGAACAATATGCTCTTTTCCACAATTCTCATCACACCTGGAAGCTGCCACTTACAACCACAGTCTGATCTGATGGCTTCAGAGCAGCTCCAATGGAGGCTTTAAAGGCCTTGCTCAAAGGCTCCTCAATGGTGGTAATGAGTTTTACAATATCTGTTGTTTTCCTTTCCATCATCCAATGAGGGAAGACTTTGCAGAAATACTTTGGAGGTCTGTCTGTGTTTCTTGCAGGCATGAAAGGATAATTTGGATATTTTCTTACACCTGGGCCTATTTTCACTTGTTTTGGTGTCGAAATGACAAGTGACTCCCAGTGACACCCTTTATTTTAAACAAGAAACTGAAGTCTAGCTCAAGGGACATTCTCGCTCTGAAATCTTGTGAAAGGTGAGTTGTTGCAGGAAGATGACGAAGAAAGCAAGACTTTATTTCCTAACGTTACTCCAACACAACAATCTCACAACTTGCCTCTCATGAGATCTTAGAGCGGGAATTGTCTTTGAGCGAGCCTTCTGTTTCTTGTTAAAGACAAAGGGTGTCACCGGGAGTCTCTCGTAGGGATCCTTTCCATGATGTTGTCACACCTTGTATAACAGTCTAAAACTTTTTAGACCTGCTGGTCATTTTGAAAGGTTTAAAAGTACTGAAATTATTTAATAACAACTTGTTGATTTGACGACTAACAGTACAGTTTTTCAGACCTCACAGGTGGACTGGCAGAGGTGAGTTTTACAGGAAACCGAACAGTGTTGGTTTGTTTTCATTTAACATTCATTTTCAAACTTGTGGTCTTCAGCCCCGCCCTGCAATGGACTGGCGACCTGTCCAGGGTGTACCCTGCCTTTCGCCCGATGCCAGCTGGGATTGGCTCCAACCCCCGCGACCCTGTACGCAGGATAAGCAATTGACGATGGATGGATGGATGGATGGTCTTCAGCCCCAGCTGACTCAAGTGACATCACTTTATCTGATTTCATGTAGCTCCCTCTAGAGCCACAAAAGGCTTTATACAACCTTTTTTTTTTACATATGCAGTAGCTACTCTCCAACACCTGTAAACAGACTTTGACGAGTAAAATCGGGGGGTGCCTCTTTAAAATGCAGTATCAGCTCACTGGGACATAGATAATTTCACCAAATATTGGTAAATTGTTGAATATGACAGGTGACATTCAGTATATGGAGTTGAAAAGCAGATGTTCAAATTTCATTTTTCCAGCACTTTAGGGTTTCTCATGTTAGCTGTAAAAATGTAACCTTGAAACCAGAAATGTGTTAAAGTGCATACTGGAAGTGCTCAGAAAAATGGAAATTTGAACATCTACAAATCTATGACAACTGGGCAACTCTGTCTATGGAGGAAGATATTGTAATACAATTAAAAGCTCCAAAACAGTACTGCATGGACCTTCTGGAAAGGGTTTTGTTAACTATTGGTTAATAGGTTAATAGTTACAGAACTTGTCAGTGAACTGATATTACTTTGCTGATTTGATTTTAAAAGTTGATGTTTCAAGAGGAATACGTTCACAAAAAAAGTTGGAACATCACTAAAAATAAGAGGAGATGTAGGCAACAATTCAGAGGTCTTGACCCAAGCTTAGTTAGTACAAATTCATTCCCAAAACAGCTTAAGGATCAATGTCAAACACTGAAGCCGTTCATTAGTCATGAGTTCAGTTTAGTGAAAAAAAAAAAGCGTAAAAAGCAGCGTCACTTCATAGGGAACGTCTTTAATTACTTCAGCGCTGTAAATGTTGTTACGTCATATCAGACATGTTGGGTCTGTTATTTATCGTCAGTATCTGCAGCCACATCGCAGTTACGACACACGACCATGTGCCCATGCACGTGATCACCTTCAAAATGTCATTTCTCCTAAACATCCAGCTGGCTCACTCACTTCATAAAAGGCTTCAGCTGAATAAGAAGAAAAGAGAAAAAAATGATCTAAAACACAGAGAACATAAAGGAAGACATGAATAACAACACCTGAAAGCACAGAAGTAGAAAATGTTTATGAAAACAAAACGCTGACATTCACAATGAAGACGATATTTGTTTGTTGGCACCATACAGTTTGCATGATTGTCGTCGATGTATAAAATAAATGTTACAGTCAGTATATGTGAGAACAGTTCTTTGGTATGTTAAAACACTGTCTTCCACCCCTTTTTACCGCACTGTAAACCAGATATAATGCTCATATTACATGTAGCAGGTTCAGTAATTCAACATATTAGGTAGCTGATAACAAAACATCATCTTGCATATCCAGCATATCATATCATTACAAACACTTAAAATAATTGCAAATATCATTTTCAAATATTTTATAAAGAAACACACAAGACTCTAAACCTCTAAAGTGCCTCAGAAGCATCATTAGATAGTGTGTCGGAATAGGAGGCAACTGTGTGGTTTCCAGTCAAAGAGGTTTGCAGTTAATCCAACAAACGTGCTTTAAAATTATGGCAAGAGAGGCAAACACAACATAGCATGCTCACCAGTGTCTACTGTCTACAGTGAATATGAAAATACTTCATAAAACGTAATTGTCTATAATGTTATACAGGAAGAGGTTTAAAAAAAAAATTGAAGGCGTGGGGTATCTCATTTAGCCTCGGTGGTGTTTCTGAGATTCAACAGTAGATGGCAGCAAAGTAAAACTAAATACTGAGAAGGAAACTCACCAGAACAGAGAGATTCTTCGGTTGTTATATATAGAAAAATCTATAAATACAGTTCATGAAAGTAAACTGAGTAGTGTACTGTATGAACATAATGAGCAAGTTGTTGATATAGATCTATATATATAGATATAGATATAGATCTATATATATATATATAGATATAGATCTATATATATATAGATATAGATCTATATATAGATCTATATATATATATAGATCTATATATAGATAGATAGATATATATCTATATATAGATATAGATCTATATATAGATAGATCTATATATAGATATATAGATAGATCTATATATATAGATCTATATCTATAGGCAGTTCTCAAACATAAAGTGCAAGTTTGTCAGTCATAACCTGAGTTAAGCAATTTTAACTGCAGGATCCATTTTCCAAGACAGTTTGTAAAAAGTTGAATTTTACAGCAATGATGATTGGACATTTCAGCAGTCTCAAGTCTTTAATGCACTGACTGTGGCCTGTTTTATTTTTTGCATTTTAACTACCTTAAATCTATTTGTTTAACGTATTTTAACCCTACAAGTACAGTACAGTTTCCACATCAAACCCACTGCAAAATTTATTTGGTGCAGCTTTTCTTATCTGACAATGTGCTGTACTAAGCTACGAAAAGTTGTAAGAGCAACCTACAGTGTCTCTTCTTTGGCTGATGCACAAGTGCATCCAATACAATGAGAGCAAATCTACCTACAGTATCATCATAAAAGGCAAGTAAACTTTAAAAAGGTGCTTGTGCTACTAGAACACTAAGACGAGAACACTCCAGCTAATGCGCACGTCAGCCACAGATTTAATGGCATTTAAAGTCATGTTCAGGGTCAGATATTAACAGCAGCAGAGCATCTACATGACCATCTGACCTATATGCTCCTGCAGCCACAGCAGTAGAGGCTGTATAGAGCTGGGGCCATCAGACACCGCCTCTGTGTACATCTGCAGCAGTACCTCTTGTAAAACAAGCAGCAAGGGCAAGCTCATGCTCAGTAGCTCATACAGGAATGCATAGTCCTGGGCATTGTCCCTCAGGTGGCCGGCAAAGGCCTGTGCTATACCATGCACACGGCGGGACAGATACCAGGGGGTGTTACACACAGTGCGAATCACACCCAGGGGCCAGCTCAGGCGTTTCCTTATGAACGAGCTGAAGGTACCTGCTGAGGATTGACTCTGCAGGTCTGCCGTGCTGCTGGACTCGGAGCTCTGTCCGTCATCATCAGCGCATCGCTCCTGAACTCTAGTGCCATAACGATTCTAAGACAGAGGATGTGACGGACAGAGACGTTAGATATTTTACAGTTCAATATAAGACGGATATTGTTAGACGTACTCACCGAGCGATGAGAAAAATTCCTCCGTAGGTTTGTCCCATTGTTGCGTTGAGCAAAATGAAGTTTGCAGTACAATTTCCCTGTAAGATTACAGCAAATATCAAAATGAAATAGTTGTTCTTTTCTTGGTAACATATGGATCCAATACTGATGACAGGTGACATTCAATGATACGAACCCTGTTCAGAGTCGAAGGCGTGTGCTCCCTGTCGCAGGGCAGAGCTGCAGGTAGAACAGCGAAAACACTCCCTGTGGAAGTAGAGCCCCTCGGCACAGACCCTTTCCACCATATAAACTCGCCTCTCGCACGAGTGGCACTTGTCACCCGACGGGGGGGAACGCCCTTCGTACCGAGCCACCCTGGGAACCAGAGAGCAGGTGGAGTGATGGTGAAAAGAAAAGCAGTGAAATAATGCCAGCCAATGAAGATTAACACTAATGCCATGACATTACAAAACAATAGCTAAAACACCGACTTAAATCTTCCCATTTAATTACTCTTTCCCGCCACCTAAACCCAGGAAATTAAAAATACATAATAAACATAAAAACACTGAAACAGCTGTCAGAAACATTCATGAATTTAACACCTACTGCTGGCTTTTAAAACTATTATACATTATGCAAACTATTTTTACCATTTATTTGGCCAAAAACATTCCTTTGCCGGAAAGCCTGTCTATCTTTAATATTTTTTTATCTAGTTTCGCCTCTCCATTTTTGCTATTCATAGTTTTAACACAAGCTCAAAAAGCTGGTTAGTGGACCGAGAGTAAAGACTTTTTGTTTTGTAGTCAAGACAGCCCAAACCAAGACCGAGTCAAGACCAGAGCTTATCAAGACCGAGACAAGACCAAGACTTTTAGGGGCTACATATGTCTACATATTTTCCCAATTGCTCTTCAGGAATCAAATTTGATTTAAACATATATCATAATGTGTATAAGGAGTTGCTCCTTTATATTAAGCTAGTGTAAGTTCTGCTATAACATCTGGCTGTTGAGATGGAGCAGGCTGTTTGGGATGGGTGGAGCAGAGAAACCCACAAAGTGCCACCACAAGAACACACGCTTCTCCTCTGTGAGGACTGCTGGTAATTAAAAGCACACGGGGCAAAAACAGCAGTTAAAAGCAAAGCTTTCATGCAAAGCAGCAGGCCTTTTGTATAAATCTGTCTGTTATAATTGAGAAGATACATGACAACAGTCTAAATTGTGGGCTACGATGCTTCTTTTTAAAGCTTTTTGAGAACAGTCCCTCTACAGTCCCTCTTTGTATCTGGAGGATTTCTGTGTGCTGCCTTTGGGACGCCGAAGATATGTTGAGCCTTCACTATGGGAACAAACATAACATCTTGAACATGAACTCTTCTTGCCAGTTTATCCAAGGCAGCCTAATACAACAATCCTTTAATAAATTATCACTTTAAAACTTTTAGAGTTAACAGTTTAGGCTGTAGTTTGTGATGCTGTTAAACTTTCTTATACTGACAGTTGTTTCTAATTGATATAGGAGGCGTGGACTAAATATTAGATTGTATACCTAATAAACTTAGTGTATTTTAAGAAATTACTGGAAAATAGGAAATATTTAATGCAAAAATGTGTTTTACCAGCAGACAAAAGCTACAATAACATTTTTTTTGGCCACCAGGTGGCAGAAGAAACAAGTTATGATCACCATTGACATATCATCACCTTTTATGTTGATAACTTGTTAGCAAGCATATTACACATCCAGTAGTTATGGAGCAACATCAGCATTAATTAACACTCATGATTCTAGCCTCCTGATGAAAGTATGTTCAATATTCACTCTCTTTTAGATCTGCTTTTGTCTCCACCAACTCCTGAGGGACATATGTAGCTCTTTTGCTGCTAAATGCTCCGCTATGTTCACCAGCTAGTTACTAACTGAGTCTCTCTGCTGTTTGGTGCTGAGCAGGTAGTGTACAGAGGGTTTTTAGAGCTTTTTCACTGAAAACCCGCGGCAGAAAACAAGGCTATGAGAGTGGACCAAAATAGTTAAGTTACAGTCTGACAGCTAAACAGTGAGCTAAAACTCACTATAATGCTCTGTAATGCCGAGGTGAGCTGCAGATTCTGGTGGTAATTCTCTGTAGGTTCATCACTAGGAGCATTTCACATTGTTTTCATATTGTGATTTGACATTAGGGTTGGGCGATGTCTAGCAAACTGCCATCGGACCGACGATGGCATGTATATATTATATATATATAAAAAGTGTACAAATATTGTTTACATGCAGCACTTGTGATCCCAAACGTGATGTGTTTCCACATGCAAATAAACACACTGTGAGGGGCAGGGGGTGCAAAACACAAGGCCATGGTGGGGTCAGGCTATAAAGCTTGAGATAGTCACCTTGAGTACAGCAGATCTATCTCCCAAGAACAACCCACTAAGGTGAACAGCTTTTTCCTTTATACTCTTTGTGTGAAACTCTCTAGCCTGTTGTGTCTGAGCTTTTTTCTGCAGGATGACACGGAGCACAGGAACAAAAGAGAAGTCATCAGTCTTGCCTCCTCAGTACAGTGAGACACATTCTTCCACCAACTCTGTGTAGACATAATTAGGCAGACTAATAACCATTTAATACGCACTATACAGCTAAATGATGAAAGACCTTTCTGTTCTACTTTCTCAATAAGAAGCAGGATTTGACAGCTAAGCATGTATTGACGGGAGAAGAACAATACCATCGCTGTGTGGAACGAAGGCTGCCTTATTACATTAATTTCACACACCACTTGATGTGGTTACTTGTACTGTACTGGAACAGAAAACTGGGACAGCCTCAGAGACCTGGCAGAGAAATCAGTATAGAGTATAGAGTCTTTAAGGCTTAAGTGATTTTTCTGTGCAACATCTGCGCTGGTTGCACAGCGGCCTCACGGTGACAAGACTTGGGGAAGTCATTGCACCTGGCTGTTGTCAGCAAAAAGTTAGTTACAGTTGTCACTTCTCATATTGTGGGCATATACTGTTTTTTAACTTTACAGAAAGCTGGGCTATCTGCTTGCTTCCCGCCTTAATGTTAAGCTAAGCTAAGCTAATCATCTCTTTCCTCATCTCTAACTCTCGGCAAGAAAGCGAATTATTCCTTAAATGATAATTAAAAACACTGTTGGCCTACATCATACAGTATATGCCAGTTAGCAGACAGCTATAGAAGAGGTCTGGCAATCAACACTTGGAGGCAAATGCCAAACACAGACAAGCTGCATTGGTAAAGAGAAACAGTGGTCACAATTTAAAACTAACCAACACGGAAATAAGACACACTACTTAGGTTGACCATTAATAGTATAATAACCCATCGTTATGACAGTTGTTACAATAGTGATTTAGTTGAAAGTTATTTTGCTTGAGTGTTTCAGTTATTTTGTTTGTCCCACATTGCCATTTTTCTCAACAAAATGTTCTTCTAAATAACTTGATGTGGTGAACAATTTTGATCTGAGCCAATGCAGGCAGGCTTTTGGCAAATCTGAATAATCAAAACAGCTTATTTGCAGACGTTAGCTAGTGCCTGCAGCCTGGCCCTGCCCGACCTGTTCCACGCAGACCCAGACTGCCCAATAATCCCTCTGCGTCTGCCTCAGCTCATGCCAGGTCTGTTAGGAGGCCGGCTCTTGCCATTTTCGACAGGCTGGATAATTTAGGGTCTGACTTCACCATCTGACTACACATTACACAAGCCTAAATGTATAATCAGGACATAAATATATAATCAACATTCACTCTGGGGCCCCTTGGGGGATCAGAACATGCAACATTCACAAAGGTTAAAAAAAATAGAAGACAGAGAAGAAAACAGAAGAAAGAAGTTAAAGATATGAAGGAGGAGATGGTGATCACCTCAGAGACATGTTCATCCACCTCCCTGAGGCGCTGGAGGACTCTTGACATGAAATGGATTGCTGAGTGGCAGGAGGGAGAAGAAGCAGGGGGGTCTGCACTCTCAGGCTGAGGCTGGGGCTTCGTCTCAGCATGCGTTTGATTAACATGTCTGAGCTTCACTACAGAAAATGGATGCTGGGACTGAGGCTGGAGCTGTGGTTTGGGCAGAGTCTTTGGAGGAAGGCGGACTAAATGTTGTGCTGATTTTCTGATACAGACTTCAAACTGAAAGGGATAATATACAGTAGTGCACTTGTGAGCTTTGGTGTAACTCCTCGTCAAGAAACCAAACAGTTAAGCTTGAATTGATTTCTTATTTTTCATTCAGTTAGAGGCTGTAGATCATTTAAAGAACCATACAGGTGGTTTATGTGTTTCACCCCACTAAACACAAATACTAGTCTTGCCAGCACAGCATGAAAATCAACTTGCATCCATTACAGTGAATATTCTGTCTGCTATGTGTTTTGGTAATGCAGATGCGAGCAGAATCTGTTTGTTTTTTCTAACTCTTTTTTTCTTGGCACAGTCAAGAACTGAAGTCTGACATCTGAAACCTGCGAGGCAACAGCCAACAGCTTCATTTAAATGATTAAATTATAATAAAAATATCCTTTTTGTGACACTTATGTTTGCTTTTTGTTTGCATCGTTGGTTTGCCTAGCTTATAGATACAATGCTTTGACTTCAGCAACTGCAAGACTCTTTTTATCTGTTTTTTGCCTGGTTTGTTAAGATTAATGGTCAACTAGTATATACTGTATTAGTTTCTAATTACCAGACATACTGTAGTTCAAAAGAAATAAAAAAAAAAACCTCTGTGGAATGTTAGACATGAGCCTGGTAATTAAGTGACTCCGAAAGGTTTTGGATTCAGTCACGCTTTCATTTAAGACTCATATTTTTCACCAATTTTGCTCATTTTAATTCATTAGGAATCATCACAATTCTTTGAATGTGCCAGCATCAATGAAGCCAATTTACTTTCCCATCAGCTTTGTCAAAATTTCATGTGAATGCTTTCCGCTTTGTGAAACTTTTAACAGGAAAATTGTTTTTGTTAGTTATAACATAAACTCCACTACATGTGTAACTGCGTATTCTTATTTATGTTTTGAATCTACTTTTGTGCTAGTTTGATCTAGTTTCTGGTTCTACAATAAATTACAATAACACGTGAAGAAATCCCATCCGTCTGTTTCTGGTGTGAAATTAGGGTCTAAGGCAGTCAGGACTAACCACTGTAAAACCACCAGTATGGTTATTTAAATATCCAAAAAGACTGAAAACTCCTATTTTAAATAAAGTAAATGATATGACTTGACCTTTACACGTGGTTGGTCTATGTGTTTGAGGTATATGTACATATATAGTATGTGCTTGCAAATTTCTGTGTGTATGTTTGATAAATATGTCAGGACAGAATTAGCATAAAACCTGCTACTTTATGACTGTCAGTAGTTTTAAATACCATCCAGAAGCCTTTGGCTACTGCCTGTGTGTCTTAACTGATGTATGGCAACTCCGGACTACCTGTGTCTCAGGAGCAGGTTTAGGTGGGAGTGGAGGCCTGAGTTTATTGTGCAGACTCTCAATCAGGTCAAGAGTAGCAGCGGGAAGACTTCTCGTAGTCTGACTGAGATTTTGCAGAGAGGTTAGGAAGACCATTAATAAAAAGGCACAGAAATAGAAAAGGCTGAAAAGATTAAATGCTGGAAATACCAGACAAGAGACGAAATATATAGCATTAGCAAAAGAAAAGTTTTGTCATATTAAAACTGCAGACCACTGTCAGAGGTCCAGCTCATAACAAGGGGAATTTAAAACATATTTATGATCCATGAAAAAGAGGTCAACTATCCATTTTAACTACATGCATGAAGAAGTATTTGTAGTTAGATAAATAAATAGACAGATACATACATACAGTGTATTCATATTATATATATAAATAAAATTACTTACCACCTTAAAGGACTACAGTTAAAATCTTACTCCTACTACAATAAAATAAAATCTATGAAATCATTGTTGTGATTTTTACCTGTGTTTTCCGTACGGTGTAGCTGGGTGTGCTTTCAAACTTTGCCAGCAACTGAGTAGCCATTGAGCGCACTTTGTTTTCCTTTGGCTCTTTGCCCTCTGGCACTGATGGGCCATTACTAGACAGGTTGGTGGCCTAACAGGAGACAGGCAACAGACAAGATCCTACTGTATCAACATTTCTTTATAGTGGATGCATTTACAAGTAGGAGCAAGTTTAGCAACAAACCTCCTCCAAATAACTGCAGAATTTCCGCCTCCTTTTGTAAATGGGATCTGTACCGTCTGACTTCTTTTCATCCTGTAAATACAGCACAAGGATATAAGACTGAATATGTAACAATCAAAAGAAGGAGATTTTAGAGCAAAAGAATCTCATACGACATACTTTTCAACATTTCAGCATGGAGTTACCTTTGGTATCCGTTTCCTGGGCAGTGCATGATTGAGCACATTATTATTGCTTCTGACTTCCTTGGATGGATAATCTTCATTGTTTTCATCCACTCCTTTGGAACCTGCAATATAACACAGGACTGCATAATAGTTTTCATTGTTTCCACAGTGCATTGAGATAAATGTCAGATAATATATACGTAGGTAATATAAATTAGGAAAGTTATATGAGTTGTCTGGAGAAAAAAGGAATTACTGAAGTGGAGAAATGTTCCACAAAAAAAATAAAGCCTTTCTGACTCAGCTGCATGTCAGAGGAAGAATAATGGTTGGCTGAAGTTAAATAAAACAACATACGATAGGTAAGCATTAAATAACCCTTCAGTGGAGACAGGTTGTCTTCATGTTGTCAAGAATCTGAGATTAATGCAGTCCACAGCTCTGGTAGAGATAGACATTCCTCTCATGCCACTATACTTAACAGACCAATAGGACTACGCAGCACACACAATTTTTAACAGGAGACCAAATGAAATTCTTTTACTTGAATTTCAGATTTTTATAATTGTTTGTACAAATTTCAGTCATACAATACAGCGAAGAAGCACCAGAAACAAAGAAGAGGACAAAAACAGTCTATTAACAACAGGCATCTGTCTTAACATGGTGAATCCAAGTCAAAGTCAAATAGAGTCAAGTAGTAAAGTAAAGAAGAGCACAGTATATCTGAGTCGAGTACAGTAGAGCTGAGTCCAGTAGAGTTCAGTACAGTAGAGTTAAGTTGAGTTTCTACCTGAGTAGAGGAGAGCAAGGTAGAGTACAGTAGAATACAGTCAAGAAGAGCTGAGCATGGTAGAGTAGAGTAGAGTAGAGTAGAGCAGAGTAGAACAGTCAAGCAGAGTTGGACATGGTAGAATACAGTGGAGTAGTAGAGTACAGTATAGGAGAGTAGAATGCAGTCAAGAAGAGTCACAGGGAGTACAGTACAGTAGAGTTGAGGTGTATCTAGTAAAGTAAAGAAGAGCGGTGTAGAGTAGAGCACAGTATATCTGAGTCCAGTAGAGTTAAGTTGAGTATCTACCGGAGTTGAGTAGAGGGGAGCAAGGTAGAGTACAGTAGAGCAGAGTACTGTATAGTAGAGTACAGAAGAGTATAATACAGTCAAGTAGAGTTAAACATGGTAGAATACAGTGGAGTAGAGTACAGTACAAAAGAGTACAGTCAAGCGGGCAGCTGTGGCTCAGGAGGTGGAGCGGGTTGCCTGTTGTTAGTAGAATATATCTGAGTTGAGTAGAGTTCAATCTAGTACAGTAGAAGATGAGTACATGTGGCGAGTACAGCAGAATACAGTCAATTAGAGCTGAGTATGGTAGAATACAGCGGAGTATAGTAGAGTCGATAGTCGATACAGTCCGGTAGAGTTGAGCATGGTAGAGTCGAGTATAATACAGTCAAGTAGAGTTGAGCATGGTAAAGTAAAGAGTAGAGTAAGCTACCTGAGGCAGGTAGAGGTGTGCCACGGAAGAGCTCATAGAACTTGGACAGGTAGGTGATCATCCTGGTCTTATCCAGCTCCTGATCGGCACTCAGCTCCTTCACAGATGTGAACGATCGGATCCCAAATTCTCGCTCGCTGACATCAAAAGCCAGCTGGAGGTTTGCAGCATGGTCTTCTTCATTTAATGAGTCAAAATCTCTGATAGAAAAAGAGAGTAATGGTGGCTTGAGTAAGAGGAAGGTACTCAACAAACATTCAGGTTATGTATGTCGTGGCAAAGCAGCTGCGGATATGATATAGTTACTGTGTCAACCTATAGTAGGGTTTCAATTTTCTTTGTGATTTCTCCCGAGTTGACCATTTACTTCGGTCTGTTTTCCCCTGATCACGTTGCAGTGCATACATAATGAAGTTATCTTTCATTAGGTTTTCTCATATTTTAACTTAGTATTGTTTCCAAAAATATCAGTATCTTAGCTGTTTAAGAACCCATGACTGATGTTATAAGAAAGTAACAGTGAGGTTTGTAACTGTGGCTGGTGGTGATTATAGAGTAAGATAATACGCACACTTATATGAAAACAGTTAACGTAAGCACAATGGAATGACTTTACACAGAAACTTATCTATCTCCATTTTAAACCCCGTAGAAGATGTTGTTTCTCATATTGCAGGAGAAAATGGTAGCAAATTACTTCTAATGGGAGTAAAAATACAACTCTGATGTCTCTAGCTTACACTGACAGTGTGCAGACACCATGAGAAATAATGTAAAGACGAGAGCAGTAGCCTAGCAGCAGCACATACAAACTTTGGTGTTTTTTCTGACGCTCACTATTTCTTCCTTTCTTTCTTTTCTATGAACCTGCTCCCCTCTATGCAGTCTGCTGACAGGCATGCATATGGAGGAGGGAAGGGGGAAAATACCAGTGGGTCCTGGAAACTTATAGAACCACATGAAATTGTAGTGGCATGTGGTGAGGTATGAAGGCAATAATTAAAGAGTGAGAGGATATAATTAGATTTGTAAATGTACTAATCTACAGTTGCACTGACAATCCATGCTGTGTAAGGCAGTCTAACCCTAAAAAGTGGAAACTAAGGTACAGTTTCTGTTTTTTTAAAAAGTCCTATAAGTGGATACCAAAGCACACAAAGTCCTACATGAGTTGTTTTTCTCCACAGCTCTACATCAACACACAGAAAGGGCCATTATTAAGAAATACATACTCAATAATAATACTCCAGATTAATTCAAGTAATGGAACAACCAGTATGTATTTCGCTTCACCGTTCACTGACAAAATGAGCTTGATAAAAATGTATGAAATGTACAAAGCTGCACTCTATTTGCACAATCTACTACCAGTTAGGTTGAAGCATAGGACAGCTATATATAAAATATTTTTCACATCTATCAGTGCTCTAAAAAGGGTCAAGTGTTTTACAAGTTGTGAGGAGGAGGTGGAGAATGCAGCATAAAAACACACATAGATGAAAGAGTTACTCTCTTTAACATAAGAAATGGGTTTCCTCACAACTAGTTGTTACCAAGAGGGTGCAGGGTTCATTTTTCAAAGAAACTGGTTTGTTCAAGTAAATACGTGTATGCATTTAATACTCTATAGAGATAAGAGGATGTTAACATCACTGATCTTAGATGGAAAGATGCAGCAGGCTGGTACTGATAGTATCTGATGCATGTTACGTACATCAGCTGGGGTTTGAACCTGTGGATGAGGGCACAGAGGGCGATGCCACTTTTCCAAGAAGACGTCAAGTCTGTGATCATCACATTCCTGTAGCCGTCTGTCTGTTTCTGGCACCAGGTAAGAAGCCTTGCCGGTCTGATCTCTGACTCTGCAAAAGAACCACAGTCACAGTGTTAGACCGACAGGAAGTTTAGGCTGAACACAATATGATGTCAAGCATGGACCAACACATGGCATGCCAGTAAACAAGGCCATGACAGACATGCTGGGAGCGGGTGCTGAGGTATGTACACATCTTTGTCTGGACATGTATTGTACTTCCTCGCTGCCTTTGGTGAATGGTTCAAGTTACTTCAAACATACAGCTCAGTTCAGCATGCAGAGCTTCTGTCTGTCCCCAGTGCATATATTATCAAATTCTGAACATTAAATAACGTGTTTCATATTGATTTAAGTGATTGATTTCTTTATTTCTTGTCATTTTAAACAGGAACATAAAGTAATACTGAACTCGGAGAGCGAGTTGTGTGTTGACTTTTCTCTTCACAACCTGGCAGATCTTTTATCAAAGCTTCCTCCTCCTGGTGAACCCACGTGTAAAAACAAACCTCAGATCGAGTCTTAGTACCTAAACAAAGATTAATTCTAACTTTTCCTACTACCATTAATAATCTGAAGATGAGTCATCAGCAGGCATGCTTTCAACTACAGAATCAGAGCAGATCACTTATCAAAACAACACAGAGGAATCTGCCAGTTCTTGTTATAAGGACCTCGTCTCCAGAGATTGACAGGCCGACGTATGGTAGCAGCACGCTCCAGAGAGCAGGAATTCAGCTCGCCAGTGATGTACAAGTGACGCACCTGAAACAGGAAGGGAAGGGAAAATGAATGACACTCAAGACGTTGTGTATATTTGTTAAAAATGAAACCTGTACCTAATGACAGATGGTAAGAATCTGATATTGTCAAAGCGAGTACTCCCTCTCACCTGGTGTGGCCTCACACAGGAGCTGTTGAGGTTGGGGTATCGAGTCCCAGGGTCTATGGTGTATTGTTCAAAGTTTTTGGCAATGTTTTCAGGTGTAGTCTGTGGAAGTAGCCTGTAAATACTCTCTCTGTAGAAACAAACAAAAAAACATGGTGGTATATCACTTTGACGTGTATCTACATTACATTAACTAATTTAGCTGACGGTTTTATCCAGAGCGACTTACAATTGCTATATATGTCAGAGGTCGCACACCTCTGGAGCAACAAGGAGTTAAGTGTCTCGCCTAGGGACACATTGGTAGATGTCTCACAGTTGTAATTTAACCCAGGTCTCCACACCAAAAGCAAGCATCTTATCTATGCACCATCACCACCACTCTAAACACACAATACTTACAAGCTGTATCTAATGCTGTAAATATAACATGAGTGAGTGTGTGTGTGTGTGTGTGTGTGTGTACCTCTCTGCAAGCACTTCCAGAACCGTCCGACCCTGAGCCCAGCTCTTCACCATCCAGGCCGTGTCAAAAGCAGCCAAGAAGCCTCTAGCACAACCTGTCCCCATGGGCCAGAAGGGCTGACCAGGAACACATAACAAATATATGAATATTTTAATGTAATTGTACATCAGTGTGTATAAGGACACAAAAAACACCAATTCTTTATTTCTTTAGAAGTAACAAAATCGCCAGAGACTGAAAACTTATTAGCAGCACTGCATTTTGTCATGATTTTGAGATTGACATACTTTTTTGTATTGGTCAAGCAACACAAAACATTACAAAGATTACATAATATACATACAGCAAGCATTACATTACAAGGACTCAGAGGATGGGGCATAAGTGCAAGTTGGGGGTCATGTTTAGATATGGTGTGTCAGTGATTTCCATTTTGTGAGTTTAGATTTCCTTTTACAATAAAAATGGTAATAAAACAGATAAATAAAAAACTAATGTAACTTTTTTAAAGTTATTTGTGACAGACTTGTCTGCCAGACTGTGTAACAGCTTCTGTTCCAAGGCAGTTGGACAGTTTACATGATATGTCTTGTCTTTCCTTACCTCTAGCAGACTGTCACCAACCAGTGCTACCAGTAGCTGGTGTCCAAATCGCTCCCTGACCAGAGCAGCATTCTCGGAGGCGTGCATGCTTGTGAAGTCAAACATTGCTACATCTGGTTGCCCGCAGTGGTTCATGGCAAAATCTAGCGTGGGAAGTTGGTAGTTGGTGCCAAAGTCAGCAGCCTCACGGGCGTAGCACAGAAGAGCTTCCTGGTTGACATTTTCACTGCTCAGCAGCAACTGGGTTTCTATGTAATCCTGTTGAACAGAAGCATGACAGTCAGGAGAATAATTTCTTTATGATCTGTTCCTTTAGAGTTTTTATTAAAGCTGCTCCCAGAAGTGGAATAAAAGCCCAACTGTATATTATTATATAATAAAAAAAGATGAGTATACTGGACTTGATATACTGTAATGTATACAACTAATCTGACATCATCTTCAACAATTTTGAAGGTTCTAATTGAATAATTAAATGAAACAAAATGGCAAAAGTAGTACAAAATACAGTATTAGAAATCACTACAGTTAATTCAACACCTCTCTGACACAGTCCTAACAAAAATAAAGAAAAGCTCTAAAGCGTTCTTGTTTGCTGACAGGATGTTGCATTTGATTACATTATACTGTACAGTAGTTCATGATTTTGATACCTTGTTATTATGATCAAATGAAATAAAGTATGCTGAAAAGCTGTTAAAAACAAATTTTCACACAAGGGATCCCTGGATAACTGACCTACGCATGTTCTACTTACATTAATGACGACTCCCTTGTCCAGCAGGCTCTGTTTCTTGGCAGTCATGACAAAGTAATGCGTGTTGTCCCTGTAGTACACAATGTTCTCCAGATCAATGCCTGCAACAAATGTGATATGGTTTGAGAGAGGTGATCCATGGAGTACCTAATTATTGTTGAGGACATTTTAAGTGGCTAACTCAAACCTGTCTACTTCTACAAGCATATTGTTGCGCCAACAACCTAGTCTGTACTGCTGAAAATCACTTCATCAGTCGTCAATGTTTACAACCAGAGCAAACAGAACAAAAAACCCAACCTTTCTGTTAGATAACCAAAGTCACAAGTATTTCCTTTACATTCATTCATAGTGAGGCTGTCAGACCGTGCTTCTCTCCCACCTGTCTCCTCTTTGAGGTCGAGAAAGAACTTCTGGTTGAAGATGAAGGCCACGCCGCTGATCTCTTCTACTTTGGCCTCTGCAGTTGTGTTTCTGTTGATGAAGTTGGCCGTGATGGCGATCGCCAGCTTTCCCCTGAATTCCTTCCTTTTGAAACCTGGGAGAGAAAAAAAACAGCGAGATAAAGAATGAAACGGACACAGGAGGAAAAAGAAGGGATGTCGATCTTCCCAGCAAACCAGTCCTATCGGCTTTTCTGTTAAAACCAAAGGAAATGTAGCGTTAAACCATAATTACAAGGCATTTACTTTCAGATAAGAGGCAGCTTACCAAGGTGAGCCTTTGTATAGCCAAGGGAACAAAAGCCATGAATTGTAAGAAGCATCAGGAATTAAAATGCTATCAACAAAGTTAAATGCCTTTTGCTTAATTAACCTTCAGAACTGAGAATGTAGCAGTAAAGTCCCACTTGTAAAACTTGAATAATTTTATTAACAATTCAATTCATGGTTTAAAAGTTAAAATATAGTTAAAAATTGGGCTGTTCAGTAATGTTATTTTATTCACACGTTCAAAGAATCTGTTTCAATGAATCCTATGCAATACTGAACCACAAAAAAAACTTATTTCTTAAGTCTATTTCAGGTATTTTAAAAAAGAAAACAGAGGCAGATTCTTTAAGCATTAACTTTTTATGTCCTCACCAAAACGAAAAAACCCAGACATCAAACCAGCAATAACTCACTAAAAATGTCTCTAATACTAAAGCTGTATGTTCAGGAAGGAAAAAAATGGATTGGTTGCTTACTACAAAGTGATGTATGGGAAAGTCACAGTAGCTTTCAGAAGAAAAGCATCTCATCTTATGTCACAACACCTACACACTGTCCCTGTTAAAAATCATGGAGGACCTTTTGTATTAATTCTGTGTTACTGTAGCTAGGCCACAAAAGTAGCTCAAAATCAGGCTGACTGCAGGGGAAAATAATTTCCCGCAGGCTTCATAATTGAAGAATGAGCTAAACATCTTATCCTGCCCAAAAATGCCCTTTTTAGGAATAAGCATCTGATGCGAATTGGTTGCTAGATGACAGCATTTTTAAGCGAGAGACCAAAACAGTGAGACAGAGAGATGGAGAGAGTCCAGCATGCATGCATCAGCTGCTGCACCGAGCCCAAGCTTTGCTCTATTTATGTACAGTGTTTCGGGGTTCCATGTATAACCATTCCCACTGGGAGAGATCAGTGGCTTCGTACAAGTACAAGCTTACAAAAGGTGAATTTCATTTATAACTTCACAACAGAAATAAACGCAGTACAAGTTATTAAGAGTGAGAGTCCAGAAACAGTCCTTTGGGACGTCTTGGACTATTCAGTAAACTGAATGTGTGCTGGGTTTTATCTTAGTCAACACTATTATCTGAATTTCATGTTCCAAATGATACTTCAGAGATTTTCACAATAAAGCAAACACATGAACATCACAAGGTGAGGTAAGTATGTAAACCGCCCCATTATTTATAAATATATTCACATATGCATTGTGTGAGTTTCTTAACTGATGGTAGTTGGAAATATATGTTGAGATCAGTATCAGCATCAGTAATCAGAAAATATTAACTAAAAAAAAAAGTATTAAGAGTAGAGTAACAGTATTCTCCAACCCTGTGCTTTCAATGTTGTTGGTGAGAGAATATACTTTTGAGTCACGGATCGTTCCTTCCTTGATCAGACACAGGTAACTTTATATTGTACTTTGCGGGCAAAATGAAGTATATTCTTCAGGCATCAAAACTGTTCCCCCCTTTTGTTGGCTGTCTTCTCACCTTCCAGAGTATTCCTGCGTCCATCAGCCCCCACTATGACATCAAACTCGAAGTTAGCCACAGGGTGATCAGCAGGTCGGATTGCAGCCCTCCACCCAAGCCCTAAAAGATGGAAACAAAGACAAAGATGTACCGCTCCACAGAACAATCAGCACATAGCACGTAGAATGTCAACTGATAAAGATTGGTGTTTTTGCTCAAGGACACAACTGTGTCTCAGTCGAAACATCTCTCCTTTCTTGGACCACTTTGCCACCTGTTTTGCTTGAACGTTTCTAAATGTGTCAGTGCAGAGAAGTTGTCAGTATAGAGAAAAATATCAAATATAAAGAAAAATAACACACACGTTTTAGCACAAGTGGAAATAATAATGGATCTTAATATTTTCAAGTAGCACAGAGATGCTCCATATCTACAAAGTCCACTGGATCTGGCCTGCAAACTTGACAAACGGACAAAAACACTGTTTCAGATTTAATATTAGCCATTTTACATATGCAGTGTGGGTGTTGCAGGAGTGTGTGACCAGCTCGGTAACAGCTTGGCACTTTGTTGTGTAACATCCCCCTGTGGAAAATGCATTCCATGATGTCAAGGGCACAGCTAAGTCCGTCACAGCAGAACAGGAGGGATAAGTCTGTGCCTAAATTTAGGGAAGGCTCTTGTTGTTATCAGCATATTGATATTACAGCTGAAGAGACAACACCTGACAACACTGTGCGAGTTATTTTCTTCCTGAGAATTTATAGTCCAGTATGGGATGAGAGGGTCAAGTAGTCATCTACAGTGCAGTGTTACGTGCTGCAAAACATTAACATCTTAAGGCAGCTGCGTGTTGTGCTGAAACTAAAAATTGTGAATGTGAGAAAAACATTGTGACAGTCACTGGTTTTAATGTGTAAGCAGGTGCTGTATATAGCTGCCATACATTTGAGCACTCACTGGGAAGTCTACCCTCATCTAAAAATGATGAAAAACTAGATCAGTGCCAATTGTCTCCTGAGTATTGGTCAAGGAAATTAAATACTGCAGGATGAGAAGATACAGATCCACAGCCACAGCCACACAGTATCTGTGTAACACACAGACAATTGCAGCCCGATATCTAGCTTTACATAGTATTAAACTTCTAAACCTCATCCTACTTCACATCCCAGCTGCATTGTTTCCAGCTGCTTAAATCTCCTCATCTTCCTGAAAGCTTGCAGATCATAAAAACTGTCAGTGGGTGTTTATCTATTGTTTGGACATTCATACCTTCATTTTCCTGATCCTCTGGAGGTTCCAACAGCTTGACAAACTCCACATTGATGTGGAACTCCACTGCAACAATCAGGGCGATCTTCAGTAGGATCAGCTGCAGCTGCTGAATGCCTGTTTGACGCAGACACACATGTTCGTGTTTGCATAAAGATGTAAATCGCTGCCAAACACTGTGTTTTGTGTTATGTTGTCTTGACACTGCTGAGAGCAAGGCTTGAACTCCATTACTCTCTTCTATCTTTGATGTTCCTCTTGTTGTTATATATCCTGTAAGTACTGTAGGACCATAATCTTTAAATCTAAAATTTATTGAAAATAGAAAATGTTACAATTTTAGTGTCCATTAAAATAAATATAAAATAAATAAAAAGCAAAAGCTGACAGCATGTTTTGTTTCTGTAAAGTCAGACACTCACTTATGTGGTCTATGGCCCCGGCGCAGAATTTGCCGTAAAACTTTTTGGCCCCGAGGCCCCGCAGGTCATGAATGGTGTAGGGCCAAAGGTGCAGCACGTTGTTCCTAGAGAAGGAGTCCCTCTTCTCGATCACCACCGCTTTGGCACCCATCAAAGCGAGCTCAATGGCTGTCCGCAGTCCACAGGGGCCCCCTCCGAGGATGAGGCACTGAATAAGAGAGAATGACAAATTGCCCTCATTACCGACACGAGGCACAGAGAAATGAGCTACATGGAGACCTCTATAATCGCAGGAGGCTGAGGCTTTTCCCGCATAAGAGGCTAAGATGAATAATGGTTTACATCCTACTTGTTTATTAACATACCAGGAAGCATTATAACATCTTCACAGATCATGAGAGGGAGCAGCACTTTACTGCACCAATGGAGCATTTAGAGGTGAAGTGTCTCACTCAAGGACACTTGAGAGGCAGAGACACAAACTCCGAGGATCATTCCAGTCTTAAGTTAACTTCTCCAGTCCGCCTTGTGTGCATAAGGATTGTTAATAAAACAGATGAAACTTGAAGAAAGAGAGTTTACATGCGGCTAAAGCGGGTCGAAGCAGTGCATTCATCAGGAAATTGCCAAGAGGGTTGTTTGTGAACACCTTCAATCAACCTAAACTATCATTACAACCATTACATATTTAAAATGTTATTCATGCCCTCACCCAAAAATGCATTAAGTCAGTTCTTTGAGGTTACAGCATCTGTCTGAGAATGTGTGGCTCAAACATGACATCATCCTCTTGAAGGCTAGATGAAAGAACTGACACGCACATGTGCTGGCAAACTGTAACTTCTTTCCTTCTTAATGTGTTGAGAGGCACTATAGAGAACTGTGTAGAGAGGAGATGCGTGTGTCTTTATTCTTGGGACATTAAATCCAGAACCAGACCTCTTCTGAATGCTGCCCCTGCTGTGCTCAACAAGGTGGACAGTCTCCTGTCTCGATAGCCTCACCAAATTAGTGCTAAAAATATATTTTCTTTCACCTTCCCAGGACAGACTTGAATATCTTGGCCTTCCTATGGAGACAGATTGATCTCAATATTATTTGTGTGAACCGCCAATGGTCTGTGTGTAAATGTGTAAGCTGTAAATATAAAACACCTTGTACAAATATAAAAGAAGATTTGTAAACTCACTCACATATTCTCAAATATAAAATGTATATGCAAATACACAAACAAATTCCATTAACTTAATTTACAAAAACATGTAAAGCATTTGTGAATATCTTCCTAACATTTAACTTTCAAACATGCATTTGTAAATCCAGCTTGTATTTGTGGATCACAATTCTATGCTTGTGGATTTGCATTTTACACACACAGAGTTGTAAGACCAACTGTCCACCAGTCTCCTGATGACATCTTTTTCACATTTCAAAAAAGTAAGAGCATGCAGTCTATAAATGAGCTGTGTTTTGTTTTAAATAATCTCAGATAAGAATGTGCATCCATCTTTTTATTTATTTATTTTAAAGTGAAACAGTTAGTTTTAGTGTGTGTTTATTTGTTATTAGTTGTTTATTTTCTTGCACACACAATTGTATACATTTCTATATATGAAAGGCACAAGAATGCCTATGTGTGCCAGTCAAGTCCTCCTTTATATTTTTCATTTATTCTTTCAGGTGGGTAAAGTCACAAAGCACTTCAGATCTTATTATTAATGTACTTAGAAGCACTTCACATTACAGTTCGGCAATAACATGGCCACTGTGGCAAAATAGTTTTATCATAAAGAGTTAATAATTAAGTAATACCACGTAATTACCAAAGTCATAAGCAGATAATAGCATGGTATTAACAATAGGTATATCTGGATAATATTAAAATGTAATATTTGTAACAGGGTAATAAGGGACAAACAGATTTAAAGATATCAAAAATAGAGAAGTAATATTGTAGTAATATTTTTGTGACAATATGGAAAACTTAGAGAACAGCAATATTTGGATTACAAAATAGTAATATGGTGACATTAATGAAGTGATAACCTGTAAATAAAGAGGTAATATGGGCTGATGTTTTCACAATATTTTAGGCTCCTATTAGTGTAATACCCTCAAAATCACATCAAAATTCAAGTCAAACTTGGCAATTGGTAATTACCATTTTATAAAGGTTTACTTTGTTTCAGTTACAATCTGTCACTTGTCATATCTTACAGTTAACAGAACTGTGGCGTATTTAGATAGCTTATACAGTTTCTGTTAGGCTATGTTAAAGAGGTGGTATTATGCTCATTTTCAGGTTCAAAATCTAAATTAGGGGTTGTACCAGAACAGGTTTACATGGTTTAATTTTCAAAAAACACCATATTTTTCTCATACTGCACATTAGTGCAGCTCCTCTTTTCACCCTATGTGTTTTACGCTCCGCTCTTGAGCTACAGAGTGATGCACTTTACTTGTACAAAAGAGTTGCACATGCGCAGTTCCCAGGTAAGGACTATTAGCCAATCAGAAGCAGAGAAGGGCGGGTCGTAAGAAACAAGGTAGTGTGATTCAAATCAAAGCCGCTTCAGACTGCGACCGTAACCTAGCAGATGGTATAAGTTACTCACAAGTCCACAACCACACAACATCGTTGTTCCACATCTTACCATCAGGACTAAACGTTGAACTGTTGCTGGTGTTCTGACGATCTATGCTGCCTTGCCGAAAAATGCTACCATAGCACAAATCCATAGACTCGACTCGGCCCTGCTCTGTTTTCCATTGCAGATAGTACCCAGAGATAGTACGTAGCTTGTCGTCATAGTGACCCCACACACAACTGCCGCGACGCAGGGCCATTAAATAATAATAACCTTATTTAGCCGCAACGTAATGTTCAATGCAACACACACACCTCTGCCGTCGTTGCTGCAGCGGTCTGTGTGAGGGCGGGAGCAGAGGGCTCTGTTAGCGGGCCGCTGGCCGGCCTCGCACGCTCCTCCCGCGGGTTGGCACAGGCTTCCCCTTGCAGCCGCTTGCGGAGGTCCTCAACTCCTCAAATATTCAAGCACATTTTTGTTCACTTCTCGTAAAACTGTCAATATTCGAAATCTACACAGCTGATTTCTCACCTCAAAACTTTTCAGAAGTGGATTTAGTGATGAAATTCCATACGAAAACTGTAAAATATAAAACTTTCTGTTGCTGGCCTCTGTCTGGCGCAAGCAATGATGATGCAGTGAATAGTGACGATTCTCTCTGACCAATCAGCAGTCTGCTGTGTTCACGTTACATGTTAGTATCCCTCAGCTGGCTTGAAACTTCAATGGAGGTGAGGTGATATGAAAAAATTTACCTGGAAGCAGGTACAACATTTCTACAATGGAAAACCAATCAAAGGCGAGTCGAGCCAAAGGGCCTCCGCTCAGACCAGCTTGGTTTGAGGGCGTGCCTGACCCTGCTAGCCGCTTGGCAAGCTTTATGACGCGTTTTCATTGTGACGTCACAAGTAAAGGAAGTGAAGGGCTGGACTACAAACGAGCTGTTTTCAAGTGGTTCAGAGCAGAGCTTTCTGTGGGAGATGGGAACTCCCTTTAGGCTGGACTTTGGGCTTTTTCACTTTGCAAACCTGTTACATGCACAAATAAGATATATAACTCAATAAAGGAGAGGGGAAAGCCAAAAAGCATAATACCACCTCTTTAACTGTTGTATGATTTGACAAGTGACAGCACCCTCGTTAAAGTCTTTAGTAGTATGGTAACTTCAGAAGCAGCACAAGCCCATAACTTCATGTCCCTGAAAATTACCCACAAGCATCCTCATGCCTTTCATACTCAAATAAAAATGTATATGAAAGTGTGTGCTATGTAATAAACTGTACAAAGAACACATAAATACATACTAATTCTCACTGTGTCCCATTAATGTATTAAATGAATAAATGCATGTTACTTATAGCTAAATTAATTTAATGTTTTCATAGATTTTTATTTTATTTTTGGGATTTGTTTATTTGAAGCTCTGTTTTATATTTGCGAAAAAAAACTTTTTTAAATTTGTGGAAGGTGTTTTATATTAACAGATTACACATTTACACATGGATCGTCAATCTGCTCACACAAATAATATTGAGACAAATCTATCTCCATACCATTCATCCAACAACACAAAGAGCTACAGTACCACTCTGCCCGACCTCTAAATCCCACCAGTACGCAGACAGGGGTTTGCCGCATATTTGGACTGGAGGACTCACTTCCTGCCATCCTGTGTGTCCAGCAACAGGATAACGCAATGTGAGGGTAGTGTGAGGAGGTGCCAAAAACCCATATCAGTTCTGTGAGACAATCAGACTGCGTGCTCTAAACAGAGCATCCAGTGCCAAGATGAGCAAAATCCCAAATCATACCCTAAATGGGGCTCTGCTGCAGCACCAAAAACAAGATGATTGGGGCTTTTGTCATTCCATATCCCTCCAGTCTGTGTGGTTGGGGTGGCTTCACAGGGGATGTGGGTGATGAGGAACACAATATGTCATCATGTCTTGCCTGAGGTTATCTGGATGAGGTAATCTCAGGTGTGAAGCACATACAGGTGGTGAAAGCGCTGCCTGGACAAGCCTGTCTGCTGGCCATGTTTTTTTTTTCTCTCTCTCAACAAAAGGGTGAGTAAGTATATTTACACAGCCAGAGACAGAGATGGAAGGATGTTGAAAATGTCATAATTTATGTGTAGAGTATTAACTCAGTATAACTCAGTACTCAGTATAACTAAGTTTATTCACATGTATGTCCACAGTGTGCTTTTTTTTTAATCTAAGCTCGCTCGTGGAACTGTTTTCGGCTGCCTATCAGCCATTAGCAGTAACAGGCTATTTGGTTTAGCCTGTTTCCATTCGCTGATATATTATCCCAGATATGAGGCTTTTCCTGATGGCTTGCTCCACATCTGTTGACTCAGGACACACGCTTCCTTTTGGCTTCCCACCTGTGACCTCACTCTCATCCCAGCTCTACCCTGGTCACATTTGTCCCCCGCCTTATAAATGAACCCTGTCTGTCAGCCAGGTTACAACTATTTACTTTGTCTTCATCTTGATTTAAATGTTAGGATACATGCCACAACTGACAATTATTTTGTTGTTTATTCAATTGTCTCGTCTCTGAAATGTCAGAATATAGTGAAGAATGCCAATCAGAATCTCCCAGAGTACAAGGCAATGTCGCTTGATTTGTTCAACCAATGATCACAAACTTTTAGCAAAAATATTTAGTTTATGATCATATTGAGAAACAAGATTTATGCTTAAAATGACACAAGTTATGAAAATTGTTGCAGATAAATGTTCTGCCAATTGACTAATTGATTGATTGCCAAATCCCAAACCTAAAACCCAACTGCCAAACAGTGTGACTGCAAAGGCTGTTTGTAGCCGCTGTCTGGTCTAACTACAGCGTGACAATATCTGTGTACAGCATACTGAATCTGCAGCTTCACATTGATACGATGTAGGTAAAGATGTCTACCCTTGAAATTAAGTCTAAATTTGTTGAATAAAGATGTGTTACAATCCCAGGACTAAAAGCGCACGGTGTCGCAGAGCGACTGATGAAGTGTGCTGAGAACGATTCACAACATCATTGTGCCCAGTAAAACTTTACGAGTAAAGAAATGCACTGCGGTTGCGGGTCAGTGTCACTGCAGCCAGCTGTGTCAGGGCATAAAACACAGATGACATCATATCCTTTAAAGATTGCTGCTACAGCGGGAATATGAAGAAGAGGCGCTGAGTGATTTCACATCTGTCTCTGTTTAAAGAGCTGAGCTGTCATAAAAACACGAGTCGTCACCTTGTGATTCTCCATGGGAGAGGAGAAATTAGTAATCAAGTAAAAGCAGATTGTCTGTCCTGTGAGTGATTATAGTGTGCTTTAGCTGTGCACATGTGGAAATTAATAAGCAACTTATTAAAGCTCAGGCTTTTAGAAAAAAAAAAAGGAAATCTCATAAATTCATAATAAGTTAGTGTTTCAATAATGAGCACAAGTCATTGTTTGTACATCTGGTTTACTACTTGGGTACGCAGTGCCACTTTTTAATTTTAATACTCAACCCTGTGGATTGTGAGAATTACAAAATATGACCTAAGACTTTTGGCTCAAAAGTTTAAGACACAAGTCACACTTTCTTCAAATGTTCACCTTCTTTCCTCTTACTGATTATGGTGTTGGCTTAAATCTGACAGAACCTGTAAAACTGAGCTCACACTCAAGAATTAAAAACACACTAATATCAACCTGGGCCTGACTCCAGCCTTTTAGGAAGAGCCTAGAGCCTGCGTATAACTGGGGCCAAATAATCAGAGTTGCTGAGTGATGCTGTCTGTTTCTCTATGCAATAAAAACACTCTTCCAAGCTGGGGGCAGCTGAGGCCTGAAAGGTAATCACACTCCTCCAGGTTTTCCTACTTTCCCTCATCACCTTTACTGCCAAGTGCACCCCCCCCCCCACACACACACACACACCCTCTAACATGATTTCTTTGTCCCCCTTGTCAGCTATCTCATCATAATTCAACTCGTGAATAGCTCTGAATGTTCAATAGCTCTCTTCTTACATGGGTTTGAAGAATTTCCTCTTTGTCTGTAATTTGTTTTCTGAATGTGATTGATTGTTTTTGTGTTATTTTGCTGCAGGGTTAGATGTAGCAGTGCACAGTTTTCTTCTATGTCCCATGTCATGTTTCATTTGATTATGTTTACATCTGTTGCTTGTTGTGTTTATTGTACAGCGTGTTTGTTTCTTGGCTGTGATTTTACATCATTTTACTGTTTGTATGGCTAGACACATACACTAGGGGGGTTGTGCTGATGGTTCAGCGATGCATTTGTCTATAAAATAATGTTACATGATGTCATGTTTGCATTACAGCTTTGTTATGCAGCAGAAAGAATCAGTGCAAAGCAATGTATATCTATTTAATTTCCTGTCCTGTATGGTGGGAGCATTTGCAGTGAAAGAGTGGATGTTACTGTAGTTGATGGTCTGTTTTGGCAGGTAGAGGTTAAACTGATAACCATGACATTGCCTTAGCTATGGTACCCTGCAATGTACATGGAACTGTCCTGAGGAGGAACAAAGTGCAGATTGTTTAAAAAAATATAGGAACCACATGAGGTTAAGTCACAAAGACACTTCCTAAATCATAAAATGTCCTACTTTAATGAGGTATGAGCAAAACCCTGTGATATTTTTATATGTAATAATGCTATTCATATCAATAATGTCTTTACATGGAGAAGGGAAATGCAATTTTGACCTTCAAAGAGCCCTGAATGTTTCAGCTCATCTAATGCAGTTTACATACAAAAAATCAACTTGCAGAGACTTACAACAACCAAAGTGAACATTTGTCTTTCTTATCTGTTTTGTCAAGTTTCCCCATTGTCATGATGCATCTGGCCACAGTTTGATATATTTGGAAAGCTCTTCAACTTTAGTTCATATTTTTGTTTTAAAAGAGCTGCTGTTAAATAACTATGTCATCACACAACAATACCATAACTTATAACAAAACAATGGACTACATGTGCATTGAGATGAAGTACCCATCACATAAAGTACTGAAAATGACTTTCATAATAAACGGAAAAGAACAATGGTAACTGGAAAGTAGGAAATCAATCTAAAAATGTATGGTATGCTTTGGAAAATAGCTTGCAGTGACATATATATATATATATATATATATATATATATATATATCTTTCTAAAAAAGGCAAAACATGTAAAACCACTTGTACAGTGCTTCAATTTAAATATATGTTGCTCTCTCTTATTTATAAATTCACAGCCTTCATCTGCATTGGCCTATGATTAGTCAGTTTTTTGTGGCATCAAGTACAGCTGTACAAAACATATTAATAAACATACCTTGGTGCCCACGCATGCCTGGCCTTTCTTGTACTCCTTATGGGACATTCTCTTGTCTAGCTTTGTCCATAGTGCTTTGGCCTTCCAGGTGGTGACCTTTGCCTTCAGGCTGCTGTAAAAGGTGCTGTGGTCTGCCGGGTCGAGGTCCAGTTGTCTGCAGAGGACGTTGAAGGCCTGAAGGGTTTCCTTACAGGTCGAGGCCTGGACAAAGTTCTCAAACAGCTTCCCCACATTATCCCTCTCCTCCTCTGTCTCGCCCATCTTCCCCCGCTACAGCAGATGGTTTGGTGTGCTGAGGCTCCTGCTTACTTCAGCACTCTTTGCCAGATGTGGCTACACCCTCAGCTTGGCCCGCACCGTCATGCCCAGTCTGAGGAGCCAAGACACATGAGAGTCTGATGTCATCTCATTGCAAAGCGTTTCTCACAGATGGCTTTAAGCAACTGATTCTTTCCATATTCTATTCATAGATCCTGATATTTCAATTCATTTAAATGGGAATGCTAAAGTAATTTAAGTTAAGTTGACAACACAGCTGAATTTTATCTGCTCTATGAGTCCAGCTCACTTTACAGAATTGTCACGAGGGCAGTCAGTACCAGTTCTCATTAACAGTGAATATCTAAGTCAACACGTGCATTTTGAAACACAGCTTACACCCACATTAAGTAGAGACAAGGCTGTGAGATAAATACTAGAGAGAAAGTCAAGCAAGAAAGTAAAAAATGTGTCAGTCTGTTGAGGATATTTACTACTTGTGCTTTACAGAGACATAACCATATGAGCCTGTAAAATTAGTTGTTTGTGGTTCTAGATAGTGCTTATTGGTTCAACATAGAACCAGATTTTTCAATGGATTTAAGTTTAGTGAACACACAGAACAGAACCATTGACAATTCAACATTAAATATCCACCATGGACAAATAATCTAAATTATACTGTTTTGTTTCAAGATATTAGGACTTTGCTAAAACTGTAGCATTTTATTGGATTCAGCTGTATAGTTTTGTAGTAGAATCTTGAATTGTAGGCAATATAAATTTTCATCTTTATAGAAGTATCAGCCTTCTTAATAGCAATAAAGGCTACTATAACGGCTACAGGGAATCAACAATATAAATGTTTCATTTGCTACAAACAGCTAACAGCTGAATTTACTTGCGGACAAAACTATATAAATAACACTTATTGTACACACATAGTTTATATACTCTGTTTATCAAGGTCAAAAAGTGGTTTCCCTATTATTGCAATTTAAAGATCAGTGTTTGTTTCTGTTAAGCAGCTTTCATTCCTGGAATAGAAGGTGCTTGATGAATGGCACAGCACTGACCATGGATGAGTGGACCAGAAAAGTATTTGTCTTGCGGTGTTTTCATTCCAGCTGAAAACCAGGCAATGTTTTCAGCAGTAAAAAGAGAGGGCTTTGAAACTAACTGTAATACAAGCCCACGCTAACACAGATTGATCGGCTTTGACTGGGTCTGCATGCTTAACGACCCACCTTCTTCTGAGGTATGTGCATTCAGTATGCTTACATATGTGCCTGCGTGTGAAAGATACCGTTAATAAAACATGTGTGAGAATAGAGCTGAACTGACAAAATTAAATACAATGTAGTTTTCTATTTCCTCCAATCAACCATCAAGCATTTTGAAAATCATGCCAGGAAATCTGTGCCAGAACTCAACATCAAAGCAAAATGTGGAACTTTTCTGCATTAAGCATGAGTCTGCTCACTTGGGTGGAGTCCACAGCTTCTGTGAGTTTTGGGAAAGCTTGCCTTTGATATTTTAATGACCCATGGAGCAGGACGGGCAGGGTTAGAGGACAGGTCAGGCCAACAGACCCCCCCAGTAATGCACTATTGCTGTCACACCCCACCCCAGGGCCTCAGGTGGCAACGTGACTGCGCCATGAAATTGTACATACATTTAGCCGGGAACAAAACAACAACGCATGCAAATGTTTTCTATGTTCAATGACCACTCTGTCTACAAGACTTTGTGGTGATTTGAATGTGGTGAGAGTTTGAAAGTCGCTCCCAAAGCAACAACATTTGCTTCCCTTTGGCTAAAATTAGCATATTAATTTGCACAAGATCCTGTTTGGCTTTGTGTTTGCATCCTGTTTTGGTGTTGCTGTTGTTTTACATTTCAGAGAAAGATTCAGGCAGGGAAAAGAACACCAACCAGCCCACAGAAATACTGTGCACCCAGCTGACCCTCAGTCTGCTTTATATACCTTTGTAGCTTCAAAAATCCCTTGTCCTATTGGTGAGTACTGTGGACCCCCGAGGCCTTTCATAGCAGACATTCAGCCTCAAACTCAGGCAAGTTGACATTCCTTTACCACGTGCCTAGAAGAGCTTTGAACTGTCCCATCAGCATGACCCCAACCCTCAGTTAGCCCTTTCATTGGCTGCACCAGCCAGGTAGTCACAGGACCACCTCCAGAGTTGTTTGGGGAATTTACTCTCTGGTTGTCAATGAGTGACGAGCGATGCCAGAGACAGCTGTGATATATGATGCAGGTGCTTTAATCAACAGACTCTGATGGGAAAATTGCTGTGTATTCTACCATGTGGTATGTGGAGTGTTTGGGGCCTACATAATATCTTCTGTGAAGCCTCTGTGGAGTTATTTCTTTTGACAGTTGAGTTTTGAGACGTTTGTTTGAGGTAGTGAGAAGAAATTGTATGCCAAAAAGGATAAAATGGTCTAACTACTGTACAACAACAAACTTTAATTTTCACAATTGCTGTTTGTGGCTGTACTTTCACAAGAACCGCTAGTAATAATTTTATGTTGATATAATTTCATTCTAAACTTTGGCCAGCATACAATAATCTCTCATGCCTTTGGTGGAAAGTTCACATAAAGACATGTTGACTGCACTTAGGCTTTCACATTTCAGTCCAAGTAAAGTGGTAAAAAAAAAGGCACAATTATTGGAACCATCTGTTGTACGAGTCTGCGAGGACTAATGAAAAGGTACCACTTACTATCTTCATAGCCAAGTCGATGCTCAACGCTCTCAAACTACATTGTCTCAGACAGAGTCCAATGACTTCACCATCGCAGTCTGAAGACAGAATGGAAAGTCACTTGTGGGCAGACAGAACAAACCCACAGTAAGGCTGTAAAAATACAACTAATGACAGACGAAGCGGAAAGAATACACATGCGTGAATACACACCATACATCACAGCCGAACCATATAATGCTTAAGAGGATCAGAGAGTTTAGTAGCAGATTTTACGTCTCCTGTCTGTTTAGAATATTATCTGAGTGAGTGAAACCGACTGCAGCTAATAGGGAAAGTGACGGGCAGTGATTAATTTTTTTGTAAACAGTGAGGAATTTCTAGTGATATCTGCGGTTTGTTGGATATATTTAACAATTCAAGTACTTCTATCTCCTGATACTTTGTGTATAATTTTGTGGCACATTGCCCAAAGAGAAAAGTATCTGTACTTTGTGTATTACAGATATATACATATATAATGCGATCGAGTATATATATATATATATATATATATATATATATATATATATATATAAAAACAAAAATCACTGCTGTGTGCCTGAGACACATTGCAAGTTATCGTTTACAGTATGATAGAGGGGGAATGCTAGGAATGTGAAAAATTACCTGTTACACCTGGGCGGCAAAAAAAGTAAATAAATCAGAACATGCACACTTTTATGCACACACATCCTCCAACATTCCTATAAAACAAACAAGGATCTCTTTATGACATTAATTTGTTGAATTATTATACACTGATGTACCTCATCATTAGTATTCTACAACATGGAAGGCAAGACAAGGAACAACCGAGTGAATATTTAAGTCTCATAGGACAAAGCAGGCATTAGTCTACACTTATAGTCATACTGTCATAACAAATCCCATGAAAACCAAAGCACAAATTCACAATACACCTACTGAACTTCCTGAAACAGTTTAGGCACTGTAGATGTTAGTTAAAGTTACTCAAACATAAGTAAATAGTACATTTGTTGGGGACTGCTTTTATCAGCGGATTAATAAACATTTGGTTCCAGAGTGAGTATTTACAACACAGTATGGTGTCCATGATTACAGTAATGAAAGAACATGTCACCAAGTGCAACTGTGTGGATCATTTATGTAAAAAAAAAAAAGAAGTATTGGAATCAATGGAGCTCTGTGGCACAGAGGAGTAAGCTAGGCTATATCAGGCTTTGGCTACACAGGTAATACTTATTGGTAAGATCAATGTGTTATTGGTTTACAGTACAGTGGTTATTGGTTACAGTAGCTAACTTCAACAGAAATAATTCATTTATATGTACAGTATATGACAACCTAACAGTAACCATGTGTTTGCCAGAGGTACATGCAATAGCTAGTCCTATTTAAAACATACAGTATAACTCTGACACTGAGAAAACTGTAAAGATACTGTACTAACAGTTAAACCAGTGACGCACTGTCTTCTTTTGTTTCTGCAGAGCACATAGATTCAGGCTACAATCAGAATACAATAGGAAGCTGACAACACAAGGAAAACATTGAGTGCTGGGAAATGCACATACTGTAGTGTCTCCAGCCAGCAACAGTAATTACAGACTGGACTGAAGAAAACCAGGAAGGAACCCTCTGTAGGCCTGATAAGCAGGCAGTGTGCCTCAGAAAACACCGCACTCATATGGACCTCAGCCCACCGGTTCTGCCCTTCACCAGGCCCCCAGAGCTCCACAGTATTATCTCAGCTCTCTGAAATCTGGCTGCGTGTTCGGGCAGCGGTGCCAAAACAAAAGAAGATCTGACTGACATGAGCAACGCAGTGACATTTGCAAAACGCAGTAAATGTCAGTCAACTTCAGAGAGAAAACTGTCAGTTTTACACAAACAGGAGCAGGCTTTTGAAGGTCCAGGGCTGCTGTCTGCAGGCCCTTCTGGCCCCCGAGGTGTGTGCACCACATGGCTCCTTTAGAGAATGATTTAGCTGGACACACTGTGCAGAGACGCCTGCACAGTTACTGACACAAACAATTCACTTGAACAATTATTCTGACTAACTGCGCATACTCATTTGTTACAATAAATTAGTCTACTGGATTTTTTAGGATTATAGTGAGGATTCATCAGACCATTTCAAATTAGTGAACATGGATCCCCTTAAGCATACGAAATGTAATAAATATAAACCACAAGGTGAAGACAAGCTGCAAGCTGAGAGGCAGTGAGGGTGAAAGATCACTGGGCATCTCTCATTCATTCATAACACAGGGGGGCTCAGTGAAGGTTGAGGTGGTAGTGTTACCACCTGGCAGGAATTGCGGATTCCATAAGCCAACTATCAGTAAAGCCAGACTCAGAATAGACAAGCGTCGTGTTGCAGAAGAAAACAGCACATGACCTGAAAAGATATCAACAGGGCCAGAACATGTAAACAACAAAACCTCACACAAAAATGTACAAAGTCCAACTCAATAACAGCCAAGTGTTCTGGGTTCACCTGTGTTAAACTCTAGCAGAGCCAGGAAGCAACACAGACTATTGCTTCTCAGAAAACTAAGCTTTAAAAACTTGTTTGGCTGCTTGCTCCAACACCAAGAGTGTGTTAGTAGTTAAAGTGAATCCTGGTGATGCACTGACATAGATCTGATGCCTTTTTTTACAATTTCAAAAAAAGTGCAGCAAAGTGCATGAGCTCCCTCAGACGCCTCCCATCCAAACTTTTCCTGTGGCGAGCGTCTGGTTTCCTGTCCAGATCAAAGCTCGGAGGTGAGCTGCCTCTGTAAAATTCCACCTCTGTGAGTTTAAAGCATGACTAAGATATATTTTAAAAGCCTTTTCAGTGTGCTCCCTGTCCCTGCCAGATGGAAAGTGTTCATGATATCCCGGGGTGAATTTACCACAGCAAAGGTTCCCTGTACCTCCTTCTGTGGCTCCATCTTCAAATGTGCTATTGTTTTCGATGTGATATGTCCCATTACAATTATGTTGTTTTTTTCTGATACAGCAGCAAACTTTTACTGCAATTACTAGCCGGCTACGGGAAACAACATGCCCCACCTATCTCTGAAAGTTCCCATCTGCTCTGTGTGACTGACGCCTGGACGCACGTGTCCATTTTTAAGCTGTGGAACAAGGAAGGAAACATATTGCAGAGAGGAAGGAGAAAGTTTATAACACCTCCCTGGCAATAATGAGTACAAGCTTCCATTCAGTCAGTTTATCGGGCCCCATTTTACATTAACATTGTTTTCATCCACAGCATGACGTCCTCACATTTCTTTATAACTTGGATTTGTTAACTGACTGATTCATTCACTAAGACATTCATTCGCTGATTTATCCAGTAAATTGTTTGATCTATGTATCTCTTCTACGACATTATTTGTTGTTTTTAAAACTGAAATGCTAAGTTTTTAAATGATGTCTCACATTTACTGGTATTAATTATGTGTACCTGTAAGAAGCTATAACCACTGTCAGCTGAGTAGACTTGCATACGTAACACTCAATTGTGTGTCAATCTGAGCTGCCAAAGGCTGCCGTAACAGCGTCGACAGGTAGTGCCAAATGCAGCTACAACATACAGGACTGAGAGTCTGAAATGCTGTGGTGTGTTATCTACAGTCAGGTCATGTAAAAAGCAAGGCAGTTGACGTAATTTTTAGATTTATTTTTTTGTAAGCATCATTATAAGCCTTCCTTTGGCTGCATGATTGGAGGGATTTGTGCAGCTTTCTGTAATGCTGTTTTTATCTCCACACACTGTTGTTAAGTTAAACTCTAGTGAAGCTGGTAATTACAAACTAAATGTGAAAGGCTGGCACAAGAATCCCCAGTTGTAAGCGACTGGAGCAGTGTTGAAGCCTCTCATGCTAAGAGTTATTTCAGACATTTTGGCAACAGTCAAAGGACAGTTTGAAAAATGTGGAAGATTGTATATAAATGTCCACTGAATTAGTTTAGTTTTCTCATTGTGTTGCAGTGAAGTCCAGGGCGTTAGATGCATTTGTTCATACAGCTTGAATAAACAGCCTTAGGATCTTGTGATGTTTGTATGTCTTGGCTCTAAGGTAACTGTATCTGCACTGTTTACTGTATCTTTCCATATATTTTATAACATAGTCAAATTAATAACTCAAAGAAGGCTTACCCAGAGGGAAATTCCAGCAGGGGGAGAATAACATGGTTTGCAGTTGAATGTTTATGCACAAAGACGTTGTTAATCTCTATGAGCATAAATCACACGGACTATCAGCGTCTGGACCAGAGACCCAGTTACTATGAACGCTGTTTAGATGTTAACACGTTCACTGGCAGTTTGGTTCTTACAGTTTAATGGAGAAGGGTGCGCTATATCTTCAACAGTCGTAAAGTAGACAGGAAATGATTGCTCACACAGCAGTGGGAAGGAGAACTACCGCTGTTTGTATGACTCTAGTGACCCCCTTTAAGAATGTTGCTGAACGAATCATGCATCATCTTGCAGGACATATGAATCATACCAGACCGGGGTGCTCATGGGGTATGTTGAAACATAGAAGAGGGAGAAGCAGATTAGTCTTACTGAAGAGTTTATAAAGTCTGACAAATTTATCATATAGAATTTTCTTTATGACAACTTTTTTCCCCCTCATTTGGTCCAAATGTTTTTGAGCCTGACCATTTTGTCCTGCTTCATCAAGAATCCAGTGTTTATCAGAGCTCAGCTGTGTATTTGATCCGTAGATGCATATATGACACACTAGAAAAAATTCACAGGCAGCTTCTGTCACTTACTGAGTTTCATTCAGTAAGCACAGCCTGTCAATGCCACACCTTTCTTTATTGTGCAGTTTGTGTCATTACAACCTCAAAGACAGAATGAGGGCTATTTACAGTCTGGAAGCTGCTGAGCAGGTGGAGTCTGACTTAAGTAAGGCTGAAAAGAATTAAACATCGGGTAAAGTTCATTAACTTGTACTGACAGGACCACTTTTAGCTTTGAAATCTGCAAATTCATCTTGAATGGGTTTGTTTTAAGGCATGTTTGAAAAGCAGCCACCCAGGCACTTGAACGTGATTTATGCTCAAAAGTGATTTACGACATAAACATCAGCATCACAAAAATGCAGGTTGCAAGTCAAGATAACCTTTTGTTTGTTATCAGGGAGCAGAAACAAGCCCAGATGTCTGACTCCTCTGTCAGACAATGTTCAATCACATCGGTCATAAAAAAGACAGGAGATTTAAAGACGTTTTCATTAAACTCCAAACTCACCAGAAACACTGATACCTTGCTTATAGACAAACGGCAGCATACCAAATCAGCATTAACCCACTATTAACTTTCTAATTGAGACTAATGTAATAGCCAGTGTTGATAGTGAGCTCATACAGTGATCCGTAGGCTACTCGATGGCTGTTAATATAACCTTGTCTGGTTGTCATACTAGAACCCTTGTGTGTCACTGGGAGTTTGTTTTGTCAAATAAGGAAAACAGCACTTCTGTCAGGTGTCTCAAGCTCACACCACCCACCTGATTAGAAAAGACAAAAAAACTACAAGGCTTAACACAAAATAACTTACCTCATATCTCAATCTAATCCAAACTATTTCCTTTCAAGGTCTTCGGTCAAACACAGGTCCTGTGGACTGTCGTGTAAAGCGTGTGGGTCCTCAGTCAGCCTGACGGGCAGCAGTTTCTCTGTGCAGCTGTGTCCAGTGTTTGAGGGCGGTGCTCTAAAGTCGGACACATCCCTGAGCAGCTAAAGTGGCTTCTGTTTAATCCAGAGGATCCAGACTTTCTCGTGCCAAAAACATAGTTCAACTACTTAAACGACCACCCACCGTCTTCTGACAGCCTGCGAGTTTGCCCCACAGGTTGAAATGACAAATTACACTACAGACTGGGTATTTGGGAGTTTAACTGAATGTGGGTGGACTGCAAATAACGTTACTTAAATCGTTAGCCTAACTAAAATGTAAAGATTATGAAGAAAGGTATAACTCAACCACTAATTGATTAATTTCAAGATGGAAACTTAACGTTACCAATGTTAGCTCTTAAGGTCCTCCTTTCAACGAGGCCACCTGTGACATATATATATATATACGTCCCCGGACCACGGTTAGTCAATAAAAAGGTTACATTTTACAAAGTGTCAGCAGAAACTGTACTGTAGGAGCACATGGACAAAAGCATTGAGCAAACACTGCAAACGTGTGCGTAAACTCTGGAGTCCCCGGCCCGGATATATTTAGTATGAAAGCAAATGACGCCATCTTGGGGCCGCACTATAAAATTACAGTCTGGGTTCACAGGACTCTGGTTCGCCTAAATTATTAAACCCATTTCCTCACTTACCTAAAGATTGGCCAGTGTCAGTTGAGGTAAATTGAGATGAATGGGATTTTGTTTGTGGTGCTCATGCTCATAGATAGCAGCATTGGAGAAATGATGGCAAACAGCAAAATATCTTACATGAAAAAAGTGGCCCAATTTCAGAACAAGCTGTAGGGGTCGTACGGTTTTTATGCGGATTATTTCTTTGTCTGAAAGTTGTTCCAATGAAAACTGCTGACGGTTGTTATAACTGGGTAACGCTACCACATTTTACCCAGTAAGTTATAGATATACCCATGAGCTGAATTTAAATTAGAAGTTAGGACTTGTAAAGTATGAGCTAATGTGACGGATAAAGTAATTTTTAAAATGTTCCTGATGTTGTTGACACCGACGCGTCTGTGTTACTGTTATCTAAATTAGCTACCGTTACAACAGGACAACCCAAATTTGGAGTTCAGTATTTGCAGTCTCACCTTAGGCACTTACACTGCAGAAAACAATGCTAAGTCTTGTGCCTGCATCGTTATTTCAATTGTTTTAAATGCCAGTTAGTTAGCTCATAGTTGGTCAACCACCAAGTTTTTTTCATCAGCTAGCCAGTCAGCTAGCTACGGTTACTTGCAGTTAACTTGCGTAACGTTACTCATTTAGAAGAAAGAGGGTTACACTTGACAGGTGTTATGCGGAGTTTTGCCTGCCTGCCGAGAATTGCACGCACCTCCAAATACTGCTTTTAAACGCTAATAATATTCTTTGTGGGGTCCATCAATGGTGTTAAATGATTCGAAGTATATATTTTATGAACGTTTAGAGTCTTTAATATTTTAACACACTTAGTAGAAGTACCATTACTTGACATTCACTAAATATGTGATAACGCCGTTTGATCAATGACCACAGCAAAGTGTCTGAAAAGGACCTAAAGAGGTGGATGCATAATTCGGCAGATCAAATTTTGTAGGCTCCCCGCCGAGATTTGCATCCACCTCTTTTCTCAGCATAAATGACCGTTTTAACCCACGTTTCGTTCATTTGACCTAATCTTATGTGACTCAGGAGGAACGGGTTGTCTCAGTGAGTAAGTCTGTTGTCAGGTAACAGTCACTGGACTGACATATATCTAATATCTATTTTGATCATTTTGTTACATTTAATAAAGCATAACCTTATTACAGCGCAGTTATGTTGTGCTAATAGTTTTAACACAGCCGCACATAAAGTCAGTCCTGTTAGTGTTTACAGCCAACAGCTGATGAGAGTTGTTCTGGGTCCACTTCAGCCCCTGACAGACTACTGCCGGGAGCTGAATTACCACAGAGGTCGTCTCCAACCATTAAAACACAGCTACATAGCAACATTAGCGTTAGCCCTGTGGTTTGTTTACAGCTAGCAGCTGATCCGGTCCGCCAGAGAAATCAACTTTTACTTTTTATTTATGGACAGAGCCGTGCTGTTGTTTCACCGCTCCTCACTGGTGAACAACCTGCAGTGTTTATTATTGTTAAATTTGTTAAATTTTAATTAGAGTGTGTTTTATTCATCTAGTGTGTCAAGCTTATTACTTCAATATATTCCCTGTAAATCTGATGTTAATATATAGATTTTACTCATGGATAGGCGTTAGGCAACTGTATGAATGAGCACTTTAGAGATATAGTGATGGTAATTATAATTATATATATATATATATATATGGCTGGTCTGGTAGTATACTCAGGAAAGATTGTGAAAATGGACGGCTAATGGCTTAATCGAATATTGACAACATATTTCTGTGGTTTTTACATGGTTTGAATTTGGTTGTGGCTCCATGGGGCTTTATAGAACCATGACAGAGAAAGATCAAGAGGTGAATTTGTGCATTATACTTTGTCAATTAGAGCAAGTCAGGCAGCCAGTGTTTGAGAACTGCGCTGTTTTTTTTAATCGCCCACTAGAGGGCTGCAGCGCCGCAATAAGCCTAGTTAAAATGAACGTAATGAACGAAATGACGAAAGATTCGTTCATTTTAATGAACGAGATTTGGTGACTCGAGTCTTTCAAAAGAGTGACTTTTCCCATCACTAAATTCGGAACTATGTTTGAGGCGTCCTGAACAAGTTTATTGAGCTTAACGAGCCATTTAGACTATCTATGTTGGAACCAGCTAATGTGTGTGTTTTTGTTGTTACCTGTTTATGAGGTGTTGTGGAGATGTACGTGTATGAGCTGATGGAGAGACCCCCCTCAGTGACGGAGAATCAGCTGTGGTGACGCTGTTTGTTTCTCAGCATTACCGCCACACCCTCCTCAGAGTGCAGCAGAAGCAGGATGAGCAGCATGATGCGAGTCGCCCTGTTAGTTTTGGCTCTTACAGCAGTCTGCAGTGGTATCCTCCCTGAGATAGTGGACCCGGGCATCACTCACATCCTGGAGGATAATTCCGCCCAGGGACAAACGGAGCTGGACCGCATGTTTGTAGAAGTGGATCAGCTGCCAGAGGATCCGCAGCAAAAGCCTGAGCATGCGTTTCATCAAGTAGGCATGCCAATTGCAGCTCTCAGTCAGCATCTAGATCTTACATGACATAGCATTATTTCACTGCTCCTTGCTGAAGTTATTGGCAGGTAGCCTGTAATGACAATCTTTATATGACTAAAAACTTAAATCTCTGGACAGAAGTACAAAAAAAGCTTAGAGGCAGAGGCAGCAGTGGAAGGAGCTAGGATATGGGAGTGACCTCATAATGCATCTCTTTACCTGAAATCTGTCTCTGATAATCTCTCTGATCCTTCTAGAAGAACGAGAGCATCAGTCAAAGCCCTCATCCCAATAGCCTTCCTCCAAGTCATCACAATGAAAGTGCTTCTGATAAAGTGATTGATAACGAACCTGTCCACACCTCAGGAGAGCAGGTAAACAAAAGTGAGATTGGGTTTGTTTCCCCTTGTGAATAAAACTTAACAGAGGTTCTGCGTTCACACAGGAGACGAACAACATTACCACAACCGTCCAGTCCAGTGACGTGGGGAACAACATCGATCATGTAAGTTTATTCTGTTTACCTACAGTCTTAAAATATCTACAACACTGTAAAAAATACATCTTTAAACAGAACTCTTTCATTTTTTATAGACCTTTGAATTTTTCAACATGAAAAGACCTCAAGATTGCATAATGTCTGGTAGCAGCATCACAGCCACTGACTTGGCATAATGTCTGCAAAGGAATCAAACTGTGTGTGTGTGTGTGTGTGTGTGTGTGTGTGTGTGTGTGTGTGTGTGTGTGTGTGGTGTGTGTGTGCATTAGTGTCTTCAGCCCGCAGAATGTATAAAATGAAAGAAACGTTAATACTGAGCTGATTTGTCAAGTGCATTTATCACAATGATAACTGCACAAAATGTTAATAAATAAGGGATGACGTGGGCTTTGTGCTTTTGCTGCTTGTAATTGGAATTCACTTTCACAGGATTAAAGCTTCTAATAGAAGGTTTTATATACATGGTTATTCACAATTTAGTAGGGCTAAACAATTAATCAAAATCTTTTGCTAAAATACCATTTCAAATTAAATTTTGTCATGCTGCAGAGATGTCCTGGCCTACACATCATATGCTACAGACTTAAGTAAACATTTTTGTTTGGTAGGGATCCTTGCAAAAATCACATCATAATAATTTAAATAAGTTTTTTTATTGCTTAACCAGTCTCCCATTTCGATATTTTTTGAAAGTTGTTCAGCTCTACATTTAACCCAAGTTAAAGAGCAACTTTCTGATAACTTCATTCATTGGATTGGAGTGTTACAGCACAAGTAAACCACAGCAGATAAAACACTGATTTGAATTACCTTGTCAGAATTATAGTGATGTGGATCATCACCTTCAGTTTAGTCTTGGCATCTTGCTACTTTTATACTTTGTGTATTGGCAGAAGAGAGCCCACTGAATGGTGTGCTTTTAGACACTTTATAGAAAGACAGAAGTGGTGAATAGCTGTTTACATAGTAATTCTAGGACAAGTCTGTCCTTGTTAGAAGAGATAAAAATAAAAAGGGAGGGACCTCTTTCTTTATAAATATGTTGCAGATTTTCTTCCTACCTAATTAGCTGCAAAGAAGCCTGTGCAACCTAAAATTTACTCTGTGACCCGGATGTCTATAAAATCCAGAGTTTCTCTACCCCTTTAGGGTTTGAATCCCTATGTGATATCCACATGGGGTGGCCAGAGATTTCTTAGACTCATACATTAAAATTTGTTTGACGTATTTTACAAACACTTGTTCAGCATAAAGCATAATTTCTTTACATAAGTTGACCACCAGGAGCTCACTCCTGCTCTTGAAAATGTAAACAGTGCCATTCTTATTTCACATGATAACTGGACAGCTCTCTGATTGCTGTGAGTTTTTAGAACAAAGCAGAGTTAGAAAAGTCTGCGACAGCCTGTTGCAATCCTTCCTCTCTCTCTTGTCTTTAGGGATGCATCACTGATGAGGACTGTGGGAAGGGAAGGTATTGCCTTTATGACACGCACAACTCCAAGTGTCTGCCTTGCAAAGCAATCGATGTGGTAAGTGAAACTATGTCACCCTTATATGAGCACCTGCTCTATTCAGTTTTTTCAAAAATGCATAATTGTTCTCGGTCTGTCTCGCTGTCAAACACACACACACACACGGTCGCTTCCGCGAAGCTGAGGTTTCACTTCGACTGCATTGCGGTGTGTCCACAAGTGTAATTGGAGTGTGTTGTTTGTGAACACTCAGTCCTATGAGCTTCACATGAAAGGACAGCATGTGTCAAGGTTAAAGAGCTCTTCTTTGCCTCTCTGCACTCTCAAAATACATCTAGAACAAAAAGAATATTAATGAGAGGCTTCTTTGTAGAGACTCTGGTTTTATTTAAGACTCAGTTATTACTACTGATTCTGTAGCGGCTTCATTGGATGCACTGGCCTTGGTGTAGCAGAGTAAAAAGCAATGCAAAGGGAAAAAGAGTCTGGCAGTCTGCCAAATATGGGTACACAGGGATAATAAATACACAGAGGACAGGATCTGTGTCTTGTCAGAAGTGCTGCACTGGAAAAGCTCTGCATGGAAATAACTAGAACACTGTTTACCTTATCCCCAAATGAACAATTCATAGAGGACACGTAGGAATAGGAACTTGTCTCACTGCTATCAGAGACCAGTTTACTAGCTGATCTCATTTATTTTTAACCAAAAAACCCATCACGCTTAGAGAATCATTAATGTCATTAATACCTCAGTGAGTTTCAGTCTTGTTAAACTGAAGGCGCATGCCATGTTCTCACTTTTAAGACACCGATATTAGGAAAATGAAAAGTGTTCGTTTCTATTCTTTCAGTCCTGCACTACGGATAAGGAGTGCTGTGGTGAACAGCTGTGTGTATGGGGTCAGTGCAGTCAAAATGCAACAAAAGGAGAGGCTGGCAGCACCTGTCAGTACCAGACTGACTGCAGCCCAGACCTCTGCTGTGCTTTCCATAAAGGTACAGTCCAGCAAACAGTACAGCATATGCTGCTCAGTGATTCTGGACATTCTCTCACAAAATGTATCTGTGTTTTCTTTGCACGTTCAGCCCTGCTCTTCCCAGTCTGCTCGGCCAAGCCCATTGAGCGCGAGCGCTGCCTTGGTGCCTCTAACCACCTGCTAGAGCTGGTGTCCTGGGATATCCAGGAAGAGGGACCCAGAAAACATTGCCCCTGTGCAGGAGATCTCCACTGCCACACCTGGGGTGAGTGCAATAAATTTAGTAGCACACCATAAATCTTGTATTTGTTGTTGAGTGAATGATTCTGTTAAAATAAATCAAAGATAATCAAGCTTTGTATGCATGTTATCGACAGGCGAGGGTCCATGTGCCTTAAAGGAGAAGACTCAAGTGAAGAGGACCTGACGGACACTCTGTACTCAGAGATAGACTATATAATCTAGACACAGCTTGATTTGATTTACATTGCTGTGTAAACCGCTAGACAGAGGTCTCCGCTGACTCCAGAGCTTGCAGTCATAGCACTTTGTTTGCTAGCTTAATGCAATGTGGAAAAGCTATACAGCATGGAAAATGGATGAAAGAATATTTATTTTATTTGCTTTAATTGAGACCTGAGGTTTACAATCCTTAAAGGTTTCTGAAAATGGAAATAACAAAAAAACAGGACACACTATATTTGAAATTTATTTTCTTGACTATTTGCTGCATCTCTAACCCTTATCTAATGCTGATCCCAGCCGTAACATTAACCGTAACACATGCCGAATGCAACTCTAACACGGGAAAAACTGTAAACTACTCACCTCACTGTTAAAAACTGTGAGACCAAAATACAACAGTTACCTTTGAGCCACCCAGTTTGCAGTCTTACTGCATTTACTGTGCACTAAGAAGACACCACATACCATCATGCTTCATGTACTGTATGATGAATGAAACAGTATCACAGAAGCAGGCAATAATAAATCATGTTTGAGCCTCCAAGAATCTTTCCTCAACAGTACACCTATATTCATGTACAGGGCACAACACTACCATGAGGTGTCAGCAGAACAACATCTGGTATAGGATTCTGTTAACGCTGAAATAGCAGCTTTGTATGACTACAACAGTTGGGTCATATTGCCATGTAGGAAGCTAATTTGCATCCCTTATACGTGTCTGATAATATCTCAAAGTTTATTTAAAAGTAAATCTAATTCCTGCTGCTTCAATCACAAAGTTTTTTGTAAAGAAAAATCTGTAATTTCTCTTATTCCTGAGAAAATGTTTTGGCAAACCTTGCTGCATGATCCAAGCGATGTCTGCTCTGCTGCCAAGATTCCCGTGTTACTTTGTAGTGATTTGTGAGTTATTCTGTCCTTATTGTTAGGTGTATAATTATTTAATGTTTGTTTATTTTATATACATACTTTTTTCTCTCTCTATTCTTTAATAGTCCATTGTTGTCTTTCAAGAAGTAGCTTATATCCAGCAGTGTCAACAACAACATATACAAAAATTTATCAGACGTACGACTGAAACAGCAACTTATCCGTCTACTTTCAATTTGAGTGGCAATTACAATAACTTGTTTTGATTAGACCGATGGTGGACTTTTAGGACAGTAATTAATGGCTATTGTGATAAATCTTGTTGACAGTCTGCTGAATGTAACCGATCCAAAATAACTCTCCTCAAATTTTTAGTCTTTATACTGTTAAGTTAGGTACACACTTCAACTGTAATAATGTTTTGGGCAGCTAAAATGAGTCAACACTTGGAAACCGCTGGATACTAGATTTTTTAAGACAATTTTTAGGCGTTTTAGCCTGTATTGGGATAGGACAGATGCAGGAAAGGAGGGAGTGAAGGAGGAGACGATATGCAGCAAAGGGCCACAGGCTGGAATTGAACACGTGCAGCTCAATAACGGCTCAGCCTTGTACATAGGGTGTATGCGCCCCATGTACAAGGCTTTAATAAAAAGGGAATTTCTATTCCTTAACCATGACTTATTAGCCCAAATGCCTGTTAAGTCACATCATGGGAACAACGAAGTTTTTTTTCCCCCAAGTGGTGCTTTGTCAAGGACCTCTCTCCACACCTGCATCTCCTGCTTATGTTGCACAATTCTGTGACTCCAAACATTACTTTTACTTTTTAAAACATGCCTTTTACTTCGATCATGTTGTTTATATGTTCTCCGTCTTCCATGTACAGCAATGTGACTTACCATTTCAACATCAAGGCTGGAAAGTGCAATCCTAATGATATCAATACCTGATGTGTGTGTCGGTGTGAATATCGCTGTATACTTATGCTGGATGTTAACCAACACACAGCCACAACTGTCAAAATATAACCTCGGCACTGTTCTTAAGCAGCTTGTACAACTCCTGCCCTTTTTTTTTTTTTTTTTTTTAATACCAAACCTCTCAGAAAGGTGAATGTGATTTGTGAGTTAGAATAAGCCATTTTAATTCACAGTGACAGAAAACATCAGTTATGAAAAAAAGCTTTTTAATTAATCTCTAAAATCATCTTAAACTATTTTCACACAGGATTTAAATCTCAAAAGAAATAAACATCAACAACAAGAGAAAAAAAAAGATTTTTCTTCAGATATTGGCATTTCTACAGTGAATAGCTGGTGGCAGCATCAGGAGCCTAGAGGGGCCAGGATGCTGAGCGTCAGTCCTCAGACCAGTTGCCTGGGCAAGACTCAGAGAAGTCCAGCGGGCTTTCTACACCCTCTGGTGCCAGTCTATCAAGCAGCAGCAGCAGGTAGAAGTGCCAAAAACAACCTCACGCTCTCTGCCAAAATCCCAGAGAGCTCTGTCCCCTCAGTACACCACGCACGCACGCACGCACGCCCAGTTAACATGGTGCAAGAAACAGACAAAGAAACCCACTTTCTATATTAAAGGTTAATACAGACAACAGATGTGTGCCTGGTGCCTCATGAGACTTAATTAAATGATTAAGTCTGGAGCAAAATAATAATTTACAACAAAAACAAGATATTCTTAACATAGGTCTACTTGGTTTTGTTTCATATTACTTTGTATTAAAAGGATCAATATCCTATGTATCACTAAATCTAGTGGAAGTGATATAACAGAGGTAAAGCTCCTATAAAGCACAATGAGCAGCAGTAGGGGCGACCCATAACAACACATAACTCTGGCATTATAGGAGCAGCAGAGGAGCAGAAACGACCTCCAGTTTATAAATTCTTAATTGTTGCTTTTTTATAGGATTTATCAAATCTTGTGAATGCATTTGTCAGTCACTGACAGAGTGAGGTTTGCCTCGTCAGAAGAGGCAAGACTGAGGAAGGCTGGATAAGTAGTTCTTGGTTGTATGTGCTGTTAGTTTTTAAAAAGGAAGGTGAGCAATGTAAGATAAGAATGATTTCCCTAATAGAGCAGTGCAGAAAAGAAAAGGTGTGAGCATATGGACTTACAAGACGGTCACAGATGAATCAGAATCAACACTATTCCTGAAACAGGAAGGGAAACACGCGGTGAAAGAGACTGATGCGAAAGAAGACGGGAGACTTAAATAGACGAGATGGATGCCTTACAGCCCACTTTCACAGTCCTAACATCTCTGCATCCATGTTTGGAGCTTTTACGTTCAATTGATTTGTCTATACAGTATTTGATTCTTTTTCTGCTTTCATGCTTCCCTTTAAACTTTACAGTACAATACACATATAGTGCACAATAGGATTCCTGGGCCAGTCCTGGGGCTCAGAGTGGAGGGTGAGAGCATGTCAGCCTCACAGCGCTGCTTGATGTTCAAGTAACTATCGGGCTCGACACTCATCAGTCCCGTAGCCTGGTTGCTCTGCGGCAGCAGCCAGACGATACAAACAACCGGGAGCTGTGCTCTGTGCCTCAGTCCTGCCCCGGGTCCTTGGCGGGCCCACCGTCTAGGTAGATCTTGAGTGCCTTCTCCTTGCGCGGTGAGTAGCTGACACGATGTCCAGTCTTGAGAAGACGACTGCTCTCCTTCTTCATCAGCTCATTGCGCTCATCCTCTGACAGCTCCATAGGTTCCTCTGTGCTGTGCCTGCACACAAAAAACACAGAAATGTTGATCTCCAGTCACAAATATTTCAAATGTAATATACTAAGGGGTTGGGGTGCAGATCCAGAGTTTCAGCTATGAACATTTTGCAGCAGCGGCCTCGTCAAATGTTACAAACAAGCTAAAACGACAGGAGAATCTAAAGCTTGTTTCAGGCAGAGGTTGAAATGAGAGCCTGTTACCTGGTAACGTTTTTTTTTACTTTGAATCATGCAAAGCTACCATACTGAGTCACTGAACTACAATTATAATGCAGTATAATAGGTCTCCTTTAATGTTATTTTGCAATAAATAATAAGCTGCAAGCGTTGCCAGTGAGACATATTGTGGGTCAGTCTATACAAGTATAGGTTCATATATAAATTTGTTGTAAAGTATAAATAATAGTGTTGTGAAGGGTCACTTTTTTCTTCATTATAACTTCAATCTGACAGCCGGTTAGTTTTTTTCCCCCTAGGGTAGGAGGGATCCTAGAAGAAACACAGATCAATAAGGCAACATCTCCATTTAGTTTAGTAGCAACTCCCTTCAAAAATATTCCAATTTTAGATATATAGAGATATATATATAGTATATCCTATATATATATAAAGTAATTACACAATACCACCATTAGGGATTAGATAATAACCAATTTTACCATATAGCACATCCACCAAAAAAAATAAAAAGTAAACCCATCTTCTATACCTAATTATCTGCAGGGATCATTTATTATAATGGAAGCCAGAAAAAAACAAAAAAAACAATTTATTTATTTATTTTACTTTCATTACATTTCTGCTTTGGTTTACTTTCAAATAAAAAATAAAAACAATAAAATATATTATTTTGGGTGAATTGTGTTAATTTAGCTTTATTTCACCAATTGTCAAAACAATCGTCATAATCTTTACAGTACAACATTAATATTACATTTTCATTTTGGCACCTGAACTAACCCCCATAAAATCTAATGAAATGAAAAAAATTTTTATAATAAATACTGGCGATTTTCATAGTCATATTCATGACGTATTAAAGCCACTGCTTGACCTGTCAAATGATTTCACATGACCGGAATAGAAAACTTCAGTCAATACTTTTAAGTGGTCTGTAATGGTCTTGAACTCTTTTACCTGTAGAAGACCACGGCTCCATCGTCACAGATGTACAGAGGCCACACGTTCAGAGTTGACACCTTAGGGTTCCAGTCCAAATCCTGATGGATCTCCAACACAGAAATATCACAAGGAAATGTTCCTCTACCCTGCAGAGAGCAGACAGACAGACAGGTTGTCAGTCTAAGATGGGATAATTCAGAAGATGGGGGACTAAAGCAACACAAGAAAAAAAAAAAACAGTGTCCTATGTGAGGTGCTGCGTCGGACATACCTTTGCAAACTCCAGATTTTCAAGAGGAATATCGCTGATTTCACTAAGCTGGAAACGGTATAAAGAATTTAGTCACAAAAGGCTGATTAATCACCATGAATTGTACTTAGACCATTTGTTGACAAAGCAAACATGTTATAATTTAGCTTTTTTTCCACGTTAAATTTAACTTCCTTGAATTAATGAATAAAATGTAAAGTTGTTTAAAGTGACAATGACATGTGCATGATTATCTCAGCGCCAAAGTGATCTGCGGACAGCAGTGAAAATTAATCAAAGGCAGGAAGGAGACACTGCATCACTCCATTAACAATTTTATTATAGAATATACTGTTATGGTATTATTTTGTGGGTGTTTATTTTCTTGCATTGTAGTAATCAGCGTTGGTTAATCAGGATGGTAACATTGTAATTTTTTTATGCATGAATAAAAACAGACATACCTTCTCCTTGAGTTCTTCCACACTGCTGCTCTCCAGAATCACTTCCTGGAAGGGCCCCAGCTTCATTGTAGCGGGGCTCCATCTCCGGGTCAGAACAGCCAGCTGCGACATGGACTTCATCTTCTCCGGTTCTGAGACACAGACCATGACAGACCAAAGATCAAGCTGAACTCTTAACTGTACTTCATTTCAACTGGAAACAAGGAGAAGTTTTCCTGCACGCTGGTAAGTAGGCTTGATCTGCTGGCATTTGTAGCTTCAAGTCAGGTTTACGAAAAGAATGCCATTATAAATCAAGCGATAATGGGATATTACATTGAGTCTTTACAATAATTTTAACATTGGTTTGTTTTTTTTGTTTTTTAAACTTTATGCTGTAATTTTACACCTTTAGTATTATTAGTCCCAAAGTACAAAAAATAACTTTTATAATTATATAATAACCATTGCAACGTGTTTTAAAGAAACTGCAGAATGAGTGTTACCACTGAGAACTTCCAAGAAAACTTCCCAGTTGGAGGAGATGCTGATGTCTTCTTCATAGACATGGTAATCCAGAAACACCGTGCCCGGGTTCTTCCACGTCTTTTTCCTGAGACGAACCCTGAAAACACACACGCACACACAGAGTTTGGTAAACGCCTACACTTTTTTTTTTAAATAAATGTGTAGTTAAGTCTTACCTGTCAATGCTGAGGTCAAGCTTGCACTGCTCTTTCAACTGAGGGAGCAGCTCCTCTTTAGACTGTCTGACAGTCATGCCCTTGGCAAACACTGTGTCCACAAGGAACTTGCAGGGCTGGAAGACAAGGACACATGAATAAATGAATACATTACAGATTACAAAGTTCAGTTACAATCTTCTTATGCATAGTAACCAAAACCGTCTTTTAGTTCTTACCTCTGATTCATTCACTAGTAGCTGATAAACTTTCACTCTGTATTCACCCTTTTTCAGCGCTCTTCCTAGTCGAATCGTTATCTACGGGAAGTAATAAAATGTCCAAGTCAAGCCTGAGTTTAAGTATTGGCTCACTCTAATGAACAGAAAATACTAAAATCTAACAAATCAATTGTAAAATTGTTCCTGACCTTGTTATCATCAGAGAACGATGAGAGTGTTTCACTGAGCCGTACACTCTCAAACTCCTGGTTGTTGGCATACACCCGAAACACCTTGAACTGGGTGGAGGTGACTCCCACATAGGGCTCCAGGTTCTGTTTAAACGCTGCTAATGTTATTCTCTTGTCCACATGAACCACTAAACCTGAAGCAGATCACAAGAAACAACAGTTAATCATTGAGATTTTTATGTCAGACTTTCTGCCCTCTACACTGAACAATATAGTCAATGCAAGTTCAAGTTGTGCAAGAAAACAGCCACGGCGCTTTCCTCCAATAAACTTCAAAAATATAATTTCTTTAAACTGGATCATAAATAGAAGGTTCGTACATTTTTGTGCATCGCACGAGGAGTCATCCTGAGAACAAGGCTCGGCTCTGAAGTACAGGAACTGAGCCTCTGCTTTGTTCTTCCCGTTGTCATCGTATTCGCTGTCTGTTCCAGAGTCTTCTTCAGCAGTGTCCCACGTCTCTTTTTTACCCTCATGGGCTTTGGAGCGACGACTACTTGTGATGCTGTGCGAGTCCAAGCCGTTGGCCAGCTGTATGGGCCCGCTGTCTGCGTTGCACAGTGTGTCACTACTGTGGCTGGAGCTCAGGATGTCGCTGTCTACTGAACTGGTGCTGCGGTCATTGTTCACCTCAGAGTCCGAGCGCTCCTCACAGACAAAGTGGTTCTCAGGGTCAGAGGAGGCACCACTGCCGGCCGCGGACCTGTTCCGGTTCTCTAACTCTCTATTGTCTGCAGCCACACAGAGTGAAGAGTTTGAGTCAGCCTCTTGAGTCGGGGATTCGATATGTTCAAAGTCGCTGGTGTCGGAGCTTTTCTGGCTGTCGCTGGTGCCGGAGTCCTGCTGGTGCTGCTGCAGAGACAGATTCTTTAACTTTTCGGTGCTCTCCTCAAGGATAGCTTCTACAGATTTCCGGTTACCCTTTGACCCCTCAAAGGGCACGTCGGAGTCACTGTTTACTTTTTGGCAAACAGTTCTGTTGGCCAAAGTACCGGGAGACTGCTCAGGCAGTAAGACCATGAGGCGGATCGTATTCCCGTGACGATCCAACAGTTTCCACAATAGTGAGTCAGTGAAAGCAACCTGATGATCCGTCGACTCAGAGCTCTCTACAAAAACCTGTTGAACAACAAAACAGGCAAAATTCAAACTTACTAGGGTTTAAAAGAAGATTGTTGGAATTTTTTTAAAAACATACAATGGAAACACATGAAAGCACAGAAATGGGGATGAAAAGAAAATATAGGAACCTTGTTGCTCCTGAAGAACCCCTCAGCTTTCAGCGTCTTGTTTGAAACGTACAGGAGCCGGAGGTCATTATAGCAGCGCTCCAGGACCACACGCATGGTTTCTGCAGATAGCCCTGTAGCCTGGGAACAAATCCATACATAAGGCTTAGGTCTCCAAGACTGAGCTCACACTCTCACAGGTACTGTGCACAATTTTGTTTATTGTTTTTTCTGTGTTGCTGATGCTTAAAGAGGTCATATCATGCTTCTCAGCTTTTCCCCCTTTCCTTTATTGTGTTATATATCTAAAGTGAATTACCATGTCCCACAGAAAACACTGCTCTGACCTGTCTGAAAACAGTTCGATTGTGGTCCAGACTTTACTTCCGTAACCTAGTTGCATCACTTTGTAACACCTAGGGATGGGGATCGAGACCCGGTTCC